TACTTGCTGCGCCCCCTCAAGAAATGATACGCAGCCTTGCACCGGTCCGTAGGCAGACTCGCTTCGCAGACCAGGTCCTTCTTGAAGTACGCGCGCGAGAGCCCCACCTTCTTCCAGTTGAACTGGTGCGCGGCGCCATACCGCTCCTGCTGTACGGAGGTCTTCAATACGACGATGCTCAGAGCACGACATTCGTCCACGGTCATCTCGTGCATACAGGGTCCAGTGGTGTGGTCCAGCGAAAACTGCCCAAAGGAATACCGAGGCCAGCTGATACACTCCTTTGCCTCGTAGCCCGACTTCGTGGCCAAGGGGATCCTATGCAGCTCCGACGTCTTTGCTACCTTGAGGGCCTTGCCGTGGTTCTGCATACGCCGGTTGAACTTCTCGAGAGGGGTCTCTTTGCCAGAACAGCAAGGGCATGTGGCAACCACAGGCGTATACATGCCTGGCTTATACCACCATCTCGAAGATATACCAACTTGGCCACAGGCGTGCACCACCGGGTCGTGCGGTACTTGCCGACGATACGCCGCCAGCATGTCTGGTTGCTCCGACGTGCTGCGGTCCTGATATACACGATTCGAGAAATACTCGTCATTAAAGAAGAACGAGCCGCAGGCCTCGCAAGCGGACCAACTCCCGTAGCACACCCAGAACGCAAAGTCCGTCAAATTATACTGCTTCTGGTAGGTGGCCTGGATACTGGTGAGTAATGACATGGACCAAGACTGTCGCTGAAATACCTCCTGGCACTTCAACATGGCATACGCAGCAACAAGACAAGCGTCCGCCGCCATTTTCGGGAATACTATGCAACGGTCAGCTGTCGCCACGCTGCAAGCTCTCGCATACCAGCCGTGCTCTTTGTCGGAGATACACGCGTGCGCAGTCCTGGGCAGCACCTGGCCCTGGAAGGTCTTCTCGTAGGCCTCCAACACAGGGCCTGGCAGCACATCCTTGTATACGAAGGCATCCGGATACTCGAGAGCCAACCTGGCATGCCGTTCGTGTTCTCCAAAAAATACCGCAAGATTGTGCAAAGGCACCAACTCTTCCGCCACGCCCAAGCGCTCACATAAGGATATACGCACAGTCTCCAGAGCAGATCTGGCCCGGGCGCGCAGAGAGGGAGCAACCCCCCAGGTGTGCCCGAGCTTGCTATCCAGAGAGACCAAGGAATACAAGAACTCCCACTCGTGCTGCTCCAGGTGGTCGCTGGTCCAGTATTCGCCACGCTGCTCCCGATAGCGACGATACGCTAGGAGCCGCTGCGTGGTCCTGCAATCCGATGTCGTCATCGTCGTCGTCGCTCTCGTCGTCAGCGTGGTCGTCGACGTCGCCGTCGCTCTCGTCGTCATCGTCGTCGTCATCGTCGTCGTCGTCGTCGTCGTCGTCGTCGTCGCCGTCGTCGTCGCCGTCGCTCTCGTCATCGTCGTCGTCGTCTTCGTCTTCGTCGTCGTCGTCGTCATCGTCGTCGTCGTCGTCGTCCTGCAATCAACGAGATACTGCGCCAATAACTGCTTTTTCACCTCCTCGGCCGGGGCGCCCTTCTGCAGCTGCTCCAGGACAAACTCCCCGCATACGTGGCGATGTATGTCCTCAGCATTCTCCAGTAGCGCCAGCTGCTGAGAGGGCGCCTTCAGCCACGTCTGAAGGTGATGGCAATGGGAAAATACCCCGGTCTCCGCGCGATACTTGTCCACCAGCGCTCGCCCCCTCAAGCCTTCTACGTGATACCAGTACTGGAGGTCCCTGCGCGACAGCGCGTAGACGGCGGAATTGCCGTGTTTGGCACCGTCTCCGAGGCGATACCTGCCAAACCACTCTCGACAGACATTCTGACCCGTCTCATACCCCCAGGCCTTCAGACGCACCTGCATATTCCGGTAGTCGAGGCCAAGGCCCAGGTCGGAGACCTCCTCTCGATACCGCTTGCCGCATGCCGCCTCTACAGCATCCCCCGTCAGCAGCTTTATACAAACCACATCTGTGGAGGAAGAAGCTGCCGTGGCCTGCTGCTTCGATACGGGCTCCTCCCAGTCGACCGCGGCAGGCCGTTTGGCCACGCGGGCAGATCCGGCGGCGGCTGGCCGTTTCAATACCCCGCCTGCGACCTGCGCCGCCGGGCGCTTCAATACACGCCTGGTGACGGCCTGGGCGGATGAAGCCGTCGCCTGCACTGAAGAGCTCACCGACGCATACGCATCGCACCACTGTCTCAACACTCCTCGGGACACCAAGACAGCTTTCCGTCGCATACGCAACACGGTATGCAAGGTGTGGTACTTCAGCCCTGGATATACCGCGCGCATGTGGTCACCAAGTGCCGCGTCGAGCTTTTCAGCCGTGTCGTACTGCAAAGGTCCAGAGTCAGGGTGATACTTCACGTACCATTGCCTCAAAACCATACCGCTGACAGCGACGGGAGGGTCGCTCTCCGAGAGAATCTGCGAGAGGACCTCCGCGGCGGCCTCGTCGGCGAAGCTCTCCCGATACTGATTGAGTCGAAGACGCTGGCCTATACATTCCTCCACAGCTTGGGCAGTATTCAATGCTCCCTTGGCGCCCCACTCCGTGCTGAGCCACTTCTGACATACCCTGGCGTCAGCAGATACAGATAAATGTCCCAGGAGCCACTGCTTCAAGACGGCCCCGTCAGTAGTCCCCTCGGGCATGTCTGTGCGAATACGTTCTCCATGCCAGGTCTCCAGATGGCCAGCGTTCTGCACTTTGACAAGCGTCTCTTTGGAAGAATACTGCAGTAGCCACATCTTTGCGACCTGATCTGTCACATACAGTGGTGGATCCAACTGTCGGAGCGCCCCGCATAATTTGAAAAGGTGTATTATACTCGATGCCCAGGTGGCGGATGGCAGAACCGTGCTGCTCCTCCAGCTCCTGGGCGCTAGAAATACTAACCTTGCCAGGCACAACCCGATATTTGCCCCACCAAGTCTTGCACGCCTGGTGACTGACCTGGATACCCTTTGCAACGAGCGCCTGATGCAAATAATACGGGCTCTCGCAGTCGGCCAAGGGAGGCCGCGACAGCTCCGGGCCATACTGCTCGTCAAGGGCTTTCGCCGTCAAAGCCATGGACCATCCAAGAACACAGGCGATACCTTGATCCGAGATGGCTACGGATGTGCCAGGGATCAGTCGGAGGCTTCCTGGGGCCGCTTGGGGTCCTCTTGGGGAAGGGGGGAAGCCTCCTGGCGCCGCTTGGGGTCCTCTTGAGGGGCTTTGGGGGGCTTCTTGGAAGCATCTTGGGGCCTCTTGGGGGCTTATTGGGTCCTCGCGGCGGGCTCTTGGGGCCTCTTGAAGGCCTCCTGGGGCAACCTATGGCGCAACCAGTAGGGGGACGTTTTATTCGAGGCGGCCGAGGGCGCAACCTATGAAAATAGGGGGGCGTTTTATTCTCGGCGGCCGAGGGCGCAACATATGGCGCAACCGCAAGGGATTCTGGCCCCTGGCAGGCGCGCGAACCCCGTTGCAAGAGCGTGCGAAAGTAGCTCGCGCGAGCTCATGTAACATAAATGTTGGAAAACCATTGGTTTTTTTAGGATTCGGACAGCGCGCGCGGGTGGAAATTTTGAAAAGTCGTGCAGGTGTTTTTCGAGGACCTACGGTGCGATTCGTGTGATTTTATGATGCGCGGTGCTAAAATTCTTAAGAAGCCCAATGGTTTTTGGAGATTTCGGCGTGCGCGCGCGAAGAAAAAACGAATGTGTCCCGCATGGTATTATTTGACATGGATGATGGCCCTGGCAGGTGCGCAACCGTTGTCGCAGAAGTTCGAAAAAGTTGCTCGCAAAAGCCCGTTTGACAGAATTGTTTAAAAAGTGTTGGTTTTCCTACGAATCCGCAAGAGCGCGCGGAAGGACATTTTGACAATTTTTTCTTAAAAACCATTGGGTTTTTGATGTTTTTATGTTAAAATCGCTACGAACCTAAGGTTTTGGAAGGATTTCGTCTTGCGCGCGAATGTCCACTTTACCTTATTTTTTTTTGCAAGGGATTCTTGCAATTTGATCAAGTAAGAACAAGAATTTTCATTTTATAGTGTTTTTTGCAAGGGAAAACGGATTACAACAACAACCGGATCCGGTGACAATCCACTTTTCTGAAGCTTTCGCTAGAAAATGAAGGAAATGAGGCTGCGGCCTAGGTTTTGGAGGGGGGTCGCGCACCAGGGGTCTCAACAATAATATTTCTTTAGAAGTAATAATATTCAACAACAACAACAACAACAACAACAACAACAACAACAACAACAACAACAACAACATCATCATCATCATCATCATCAACAACAACAAAAACCTCCTGTCAGGTTTTTGCATTACCCGAGCGGGTCTGGGGTTGGTCCTCTCGGGTGTCCAATCCAATCAAATCCGACCGTAGCGATAAGGATATGTTCCAGGCTGGTAGGTGGCCTGCCCTAGCCGCGCCCGAGCGCCCTGCTCTGGCGGCGCGCCCAAGGAGGAGGAGGAGGAGGAGGAGGAGGAGGAGGAGGAGGAGGAGGAGAAGCGAGCGTCGGAGCCGCGAGTTCTCCCACTTGCCCCGACGCGGCGGAGCGCAGGCTGCCCTCGGGCCTCTCACCTCCACGTCGGAGGAGGCGGCGAAGATGCTGCCGCCGCTGTCGCCGTAGTGGATGAAGTGGGGGGAGAAGGAGGAGGAGGAGGAGGAGGAGGAGGAGGAGGAGGAAGAGGAGGAGGAGAAGGAGGAGGAGAAGGAGAGGCAGGAGAGGCAGGAGGAGGAGGAGGAGGTGCGGAGAGGGAAGAGGACGAGGAGAAAACGGAGCCTGAGGAGGAGGAGGAGGAGGAGGAGGAGGAGGCGCAGTGCCGGAGCCACAAGCGCGAGGGTCAGGAGGGAAAGGAGGAGCAGGACGAGGAGGGGGGGGGGGTATGATCAGGAGCGGGGAGCCTGGCCACGCCTGGAGTCCTGACTGCTCGGGCAAGGGTCTTCGCCCCGCCCTCTCCGCTGGCGCCCCGGGCCTTCTTGGCGGTGATCGCCTTCTTGACGCCGCGGCCGGCGCCCTCGCTGGGAGATTGAGGGAGGGCCACCGGGGGGCGGCTCGCCTCCTATCGCTTCCGTGTCCTTGCTCCCCATTCCCATCGCTTTCCCCCCCCCCTCTCTCTCGCGACATGTACATGCGTCTATTCGGCTATGTTTGTATCTCCCCAAACAGTGTTTGAGCTTAGGATTTCGCACATCTTTCCTAAGGAAATGGCCCCCAATGTCGGTCTGGCGGCTCCGCGCTCGCCGTCGCCGCCTCCTCGCCCGTCGTCTGAGCCTTGGTGTCGGTCAGGCGGCTCCGTGCTCGCAGTCGCCGCGTCGTCGCCACCTCGCATAGGTTCTCCTTTCAAAAAAGAAAATAAACTCTACCCCCCCCTCGGCGTTATCCGTTCCCCTTTCGGGTGCGTAAATCAGATTTGATTATGACCACATGTCCACCCCAAATACGAATTTACTCTATCCCAGGGGGGCCGGTATCGACCCCCCTGAGGTTCCCTCTCTCTCTCTCTCTCTCTCTCTCTCTTGTTCATTATATATATAAAAACGATACGCGGGGACATTTTTTGTTTGAACATAGCACTTTCTCACGAATCCATCGCAAAAAACGGGACGAAGTGCACACGCGCGCATGGTCGCGCGCGCATGCCGAAATCCTCCGAAAAACCTTCGGTGTCGGAAGGATTTCGCAATCGAGTCTTCAACAAATATACAACAACACATGGTTTCGCAATACTGATTTGCTAAAAAAGCTTACGCGCGAGCTCTTGCGACATCTTTTTTTTTTTGTGCCGTCGCGAGAATCCTCTGCAAAAAACTGGACGAAGTACAGACGCGCGCGTCGTCGCGCGCGTATGCCGAAATCCTTCAAAACCCATCGGCTTCGGAAGGATTTCAACATCGTGTGCCCGAAAAACCTAAAAAAACACAAGGTTTCGCAACACGGATTTTCAACAAAAGCGTGCGCGCGCGCTCTTGCGTCGTCGTCGTCGTCCTCCCTCCTCCCGCGTCGTCGTCGTCGTCGCCTACGTCGTCCTCTGTCTTTCCTCGTGTTCGTCGTCGTCGTCCTCTTTGGCGTCGTGGTCGTTTCCGTCGTCGTTGTCGCCGTGGTCGTCCTTCCGCCTCCTCCCTCGTCGTCGTCGTCGTCCGTCGTCGGCGTCTCGTCGTCGTCCCTCCTATTTCGTCGCCGTCGTCGTCGTCGTCGTCGTCGTCGTTGTCGTCGTCGTCCTGTCGTTGTCGTCGTCTCGTCGTCGGCGTCGCCGTCCTTCCTCCTTCTTCGTCGTTCGCGTCGTCGCCGTCCTCCCTCCTCCCTCGTCGTTGTCGTCGTTGTCGCCGTTGTCGCCGTCGTCGTCCTCCCTCCTCCCTCGTCGTCGTCTTCGTTGGCGACGTCGTCGTCATCTTCGTCGACGTCGTCGGCGTCGGCGTCGTCGTCATCTTCGTCGTCGTCGACGTTGGCGTCGTCGTCGTCGCCGTCGTCGTCGTCGTCGTCGTGGTCGTCGTCGTCGTCGTCGGCGTCGTGGACGTCGTCGGTGTCGTCGGTGTCGTCGTCGGTCGTCGTCGGCGTCGTCATCGTCGTCGTCGTTGTCATCGTCGTCGTCGTCGTCGGCGTCGTCATCGTCGTCGTCGTTGTCATCGTCGTCGTCGTCGTCGTCGGCGTTGGCGTCGTCGTCGTCGTCGTCGGTGTCGTCGTCGTCGTCGTCGTCGTTGTCGGCGTCGTCGAAGTCGTTGGAGACGTCGTCGGTGTCGTCGTAGTCGTTGTCGGCGGCGTCGTCGTCGTCGTTGTCGCTGTCGTCGTCGGCGTCGCTGTCGTTGCCAAGTGCCATTTGATACCCACCGTCACGGTCTTAAGAGATTTTGCAAACCAAGTTACGGGTGAGTTGGTGGGATGTTTGCGCGAGCAGTGGAATGGACAACTCACTGCGAACAGAAATTAACTGCACCGCATAGACTGCACTACATAGAATGCATCACATAGATTGCAAAATATAGGTTGCACCGCACAGATTGCAACACATGGGTGTCACCACATAGATTGCACAGCGTAATTCGCACCACACAGATTGCACCACATACAACTGCACACCATAGATCACACCACATAGAGTTGCACCACATTGGGTGCACCATATGTGTATATATATATATATGTATAAATAAAGATGTGTGTGCGTTGCACTACATAGGGCGCAAGGCCCACGCCTTTTAAGAAGCAGGGAAGCTTCCAAGAAGCCTTCCGCCCTTCCCCTACCCCCCTCTGCGCGTGACCGACATATCGAACATCTCTACGATCCGGCGGCTCTGGAGACGCCGCGGCCTTCTCAGAACGTTCCGATAGCTCTGAAAGCGGATTGATCCTCGTCCTAACCCAAACCGGAAGACCCTTTTCCTCTGCGAGGCGACCCCCGACGCCACCGCCGAACCTCGAGCCGGCCACTGGCCGAGCCACGGCGGAGCGTGCGCCAAGACCTTGCCTCTGAGTGTCCCGATGTGCGCCCCGACCCGTCTCCGATGAACGTCTCTGACTTTGTGGAGTTTCAACTGGGCTCCCCAACAAAAACTGAGCCCTGTGTGCGGATATACGATGGGCGGGGCGTCCACAGCCCGCCTTTGGGATGCATATCCGAGTTCCCCTTCTTTTCTGAGCTGCCAACTTCTGTTGTGCGGGAATCGGGACTTGGGGAACGAAAATCGCCTGTGATCCTGGGCACGTTTCGCATCTCATGATCTCGCAAGAGGGCCAAGTGAAACAACGGCGGTTCACCCCGCCTTCTCAAATCTGCTCAAAATCGCCCCCCCGACCCCTTCCGGAGTCCATCCCGACCCGTTGTCTGACGCGCATCCAGACGTGGCGACGAGAAGCCTCCAGGGGGCTCGACAAGGACGAAAAACGCCAGGGAGGACCGCCGTTATCTCGACTGGCCCTCCCCCAAGCTTCGCCCATCGGAGCCGCCCCCAGACCCAGATCTCCAACACAACGTGGACCCCAAAGGTCTGGACCCCTTTCCCGTGGGCGAAACACATATCCATATCGGCGGCCTCGCATACGAGGTCGGAGGATCGCGCCGCAACGCAAAAACATCACCGATGTATCGCGATCTGGCGCGATCCTCCGACCCCACCAATAGGGAGCCCACAAAGGACGTACGCGCCAAACCACTTACCTGGCCAAACCACGTAAATGAATACGGCCCCGCGGTCCGCGAGACCAGCCTTGTGATGAGAACGTTCGCGCAATGCGCACTCTGGGAGGCCTGGACTTATGCGCAAAGACAAAACAGGAGAGGGCCCCCAGGTCCCCCGAATGCAAGACAGGAAAGTACGGCAAGTTCGGCTTCTGACACTGCGTGGATCGTTCAACCCTGAACGAGCGGCGGCGTGTCGATCGCCCGGTCGTTCCATGTAGGCCAATTCGGGTCCACTGGTACCATTCAACCTTGAACGCCCACGGCGGGGTCGCCGCCGGTCGACACGACGCGAACGTACCGTACAATCGAGTTTGACTGGGGAGGACACGCGAGAGGGCACAAGATCCTTCCGAGGGCCACTCGGGCCCCAGGGATGCGACAGAAGGACACGGGGTGCCACGCACAGGACACAGAAGCACCCTTGATTTGAGAGGGTCGGCCTACGAATCAGACTCGACTGCATTTCCACAAAAGGGAAGCAAAGGGTCGGGGAGACGTAGGACTCGGGTTGGCCTGACGGGGCCACTAAGAACATGACGAGACCAAATCTGCAACTTGACGCGAGCTCCCGCTGCGAACATCTCACGAACACTGGACCGTCAAACTCCAGGACGCGCTCGTCAAAAAACTACGCCGGCAAACCCGAGTCTTCCGTTTCCCGAAAGGGATCAAGGCCCGAACTTGGCCGATCGGCGCCGACCCTTGAGCAGGGACCGACCGTCCCGGTATTCTGGGCCTACCACGACATGCTCTTAGAACCCAAAAATGTTCCAAGAACATCAACGATGTTCTTGGATGTGTTGAAACAAGGCAATCAATCCCAGCCAGAAATGTTCTAGAAAACATCTCGCGCAGACCACAACAACTTCTTCGAACATTCTTTGGTGTGCCTAGATGCGAGCCAGGACGCTCCGCCACTGCGAGCCCCTGGACTTCCCGTCCGCCGGCCTTGCGGACCGCGCCAGCGGCCTTGCGACCCCTGCCGGCGCCGGCGCCGCTGCCCCCGCCAGCGGCCTGTTGGCGAGGAGGGAGATTGAGCAGAAACCGACCGTCCATACAGCCCTACCACGAAGTGTTCTTAGAACCCGAGAAATTCAAACAACGTCCTTGGACCACATCCGCCACCGTGCCCCTGGGCACGGAGGGGGCGTGTCCTCAGGTCCGTGGCCTCATCCCCGGAGCCCCAGCCCTCAGTCCTGAGGAGCTTCTTGGAGTCCCGCGTGGGTTCGGGCCCAAAAACGGCCCCAAGACGAGCCAAGAGGGCCCGGGGAGGCGCCGCGGGGCACCCGAGGTACGCACCGAAAGCCAAGCCTCCTCGCGTGGCGCAAACAAAAAAAACACGGCGCTGGAAGGTTTGACAAAATGTGGGCTGCTGAAGCCATCGGCGGGCCCTGGGACCGTCAAGTGACGACCTGGGGCGAAAAAGCAAGTCCCTGGTGAGGGGTCTGGCCCTCGAGGGTCGACACTGGGAGAAGGTCGTGCTGGAACTCTTGGAAGGAATCGCACACACACACACACACACACACACACACACACACACACACACACACGCACACGCACACACACACACACGCACACACGCACACACACACACGCACACACACACACACACACTAACACGCACACACGCGCACACGCACTCACACAACCTCTTCCTTCTTCAGCGAAGCCATGCCACTGCCTCGCTTGACCCATCTACCGCCTGGCGATGCAGATGGTGGGTCCGCATGGAAGCAGACGCATGCAGAAAAACACGGGACAGCGAATGCACGAGGAAACCGCCGAAGAGGCCATGCAAGTGCATGAAGAAGCACACACACACACACGCACACCTCTTCCCCCAGCCTGCGCAGTGACGTCACTGTCGCGAGAGCATGTGGGAGGGGTGCGTTCCAGCTACTGTGGATTGAGAGAGGCCGACCACAGCGTTCGGGGGGACCGTGGCGCACGACCCGCACGTGGAGGGGCGAGGACTGCAGCAGGCTGGCAAGATCCGCGACACCCGCCTCCACCGAGACCAACACAGAGCACTTGTTCTCGTTGGAGTGCGAGCGCGCGTCGCGTGGCAGGCGGCTGACAAACTGCCCGGGTGAACCATGGACTGAGGAGGGGAAGAAGGGGAGGCCCATGTAACCAGGGACGGAGGAGGGGAAGAGAGAGAGGCTCATGTGTATATATATATATGTGAAGATAGAGATATACACATACACATACAGTTACATATACATATCTATATACACATATATGAACAATAAAGAAAGGTAATGAGAGAGAGCGAGAGAGAAAACAAAGAGAGAGAGAAAGAGAGATACAGAGAGAGAGAGAGGGAAACTGTTTAATACATCAACATGCTAACAGCCTCAATGCCGAAGCAGACGAAGTATGCACACCGACGTGCACACACTATTCCTTCCGATGCCGAACTGTGTCACAATCCAGGGGTAGCTGTTACGGGCTGAGAACAAGTTTTCGTGGTGGGGGCATGGAGTTGGGAGGATACAGGGTACGATTGTGTACTCAGCACCTGGAACATACGCGGTAAGATTGATGGTCTGATCATTTCTCCAAGCCCCATCCTCCCAACCCGATTACTGTCTTTCTGATGCTCAGGAACCATCTGTGAGGGTACAGTCACGTGGTTTCTCAGAACACCGACGTCGTGGTTTGTTCATGACGTGGACCTCTGGACCTCTCGACCCCTTCTCTGGGACAGGTTTCACCTCCCGGGTCATGTTATGAAGGTCCTGGGGATCGGCGGTGCTGAACACCTCTCATCGTGACACCACATCAGATCGCCGCGCTGGGCTCCGGCTGGCCCCGGCCAAAGTCGGCGAATCGAGCCGCATCGAGTCGCAGCGGAAGCGCGGCTCCAGCCGGCGACTCGAATCGCACCGCCTCGGATCGTAGAGGCGGTCGTGTCCCCCCCCCTCCCCGTCGGGCCTTGCGCTTCGCCCTGGCCTCCGCAAGCCGGTCGGACCAGATCTCGTCGAGGGTCTGGCCGACCTTCTTCTCCACCGCGTCCATCGCCGCCGCCGCCCCGCCGGAGCGCGCGGCCTCCCCGCGCGATGCGGCAGCTGCCGCTGGGCCGCCGGGCCGCCGCCGAGGCTCGAGCAGGGACGGCTGCAAGGAGGAGTCCCCGCACCTTAACCTCGTCATGGCCCAGCGGGGGAGATACCGAGACCCCTGCTCGTCCTGGAGACCCAGACATGATGGAGTCGTAACAAAAATCAGGACAATGAAATTTTGGCAAATTTCGGCTTGGGGACCCTCGCCCGGCCTCGGGACCGTCGAAGAATGACTCAGGATGAAAAACCGGTCCCAGGGAAAGTGTCGGGACTTCCAAGGACCCCGTATGGAAAAACTCAGGACGTCGCATGTCTGGGGAGCCCTCGTCGCCACGGCCGGATCCTCATCGGAATCCTCGTCAGGACGCACTCTGGGAGAGGGGTTCCTGGCTGTGTCGGCTGCATGGGCTTGCGGCAGCCCCCCGCCTCCTCGCGGTGTGGAAAACAGGAAGGCGTTCACGGATTTTCGGGCCAGCGGAAGCCCTCGAGGGTCCTGGGACAATGAGAAGACGGCTCGAGGCGGAAACATGGTCCCAGGGAAGGGGTCAGGAGAATTCTACAGAGGGTCCACGTTGGCGGAAAGTCGTGACGCAAGATATCTGGGAGGGGGGGGATGCAAAGATGCAGGGTCGAGATGTTGGGGCGCGGCTCGCCCCATCTTGGGCATCCTGGGGGAGGTTCTTGCGGCCGCGGCTGGGATTCGCCTCGAGAATCTGGTCACAACGCACCCCAAGACAGTTCCGGGATGAAGATTCAAGATGCTCGTTCTGGAGACATTTCTGGAGCCACTCGATTGATTCATTCATGCGTCGATACTACGACGAACGTCCGTCGGCTTGGGTCGACCTTGAATCGAGTTTGAATAGAACTTGAGTAGATCCAGATCCGGACTAGAGCCGAACAGATCCAGCAGGTGGGCCCAAGACCCAAGAAATGCCCCCGGCACGAACATCTCAATACTGGTGGGGGACAATATGTGGTCGTGCACGGCTTGGTTTCGCCAGTGATTAACAATAAAAGGACCCTTAACCCTTTGGGAGGGGATCTAAGTTAGGAGGGCCAAAAACGTTAGGGATAGGGGTCTCTTCTGCGGGTGTATCCAACGCCCAGAACTACGATTCCTAATGCCACGACGGGGAACTAAGTGAGGCCACGTCTTCACTATGTTGTTGGGGTTAGGGGGTCTTTTCTCCTGGATGAGCCAGGGCTTGCGCAATGGGCACGCGAGCGAGAGAGAGAGAGAGAGACGCCCGGGCGAGGCTCAGGCCGGGAGGGGCGGCGGTGTGCAAGGGCGTGAATGCTCGGTGGCCCGGTTGGGCGGCTGCATCCCGGGCTGGACAACGCTGGCGTGAACTGCGGACGCGGGCAGAAGCTGAGGCGAAACTTGGCTGCAGCTGTCTGCGGCGAGCGAGGGGGGGAGTAAGAAGGAAAAGGCCCTGACAGAAGGCGGGATTTCTCAGAAGCCCTCCGGCCTTCTGAGAAGTTGTTTGCGTCTTCGGGGAAGGCTCGGGAAACTTCCAAGAAGGCCGGGGAACTTCCGAGCCTTTTGAGAAGGCCCGCCCCTTCCCGTTTCCCCCCGCGCTCGCCGCCGAAGCTGGGCAACGCGTACACGGTGGTCACGCACCAGCAGCCCAGCTCCAGCATCATGATCTGCGGCAGAGTCAGGGGTCAGCCGAAGCTGGTTCCAAAGCAACTGGGCTGGCCTTGGACCAGGTAAGAAACGCAACTTCGCTCAAACAGCCTACACTCGGCCCGTAGCGGAAGGATGCGCGATAAGCATGCAAGGGCCTTGGACACCCACTTCGAAGCTTTTGGAGCGGGGCGCGGCCAACAACAGTGGCCAAGGATGGATCGAGGAGGCAAGGGTGCAGTGGTACCCTTGGGGAGGTTGTCCATCCTCACTATGCGGGTTGATTGCTCAAGAAAGGCAGGGAAGCTGGGCGCTGCTGCTAGCTGCTGTACAGAAGCTGGCGCAAACGGCACAGCACCTGCTCTGAGCCGTCGCCATAAAAAACTCAGAGAAAAAACATTGAACTGAAGGCATCCTCCGCGCAACCCAGATATCGGCCGACTGTGGAACTGAAGCTACATACGCGCACAAGCTGATGCAACGACTCGCCTTGCCCGACGAAGTCGTGCGCGCACAGGAGAAGGCCTCCCCAGAGCCCGCTCCTCTGCATGCCGCTCGCCCACTCCCAAAGCACGAACGTAACACCCATGGGTGTAAGTTCTGCCGTGCAGGGAGCACGTGGCGCGGGCCACAAACCTGTAACATATCATGTGGTGCGTTACGCAGCAGGCACCTACAGCCATATGCAGACGAAGGGCCTCCGACACATATGACTGCAGCGCAAAGAGAGGACACGGGCAAGAGGAACCGCAACAGGAGGAGCGAGTTGGGCAACACAAAACTGCAACGGGCAACAGCAGTACAAGGAACATAATGAGGAACATATCGAAATCTTGCCTAGATGTGGGACGGGTTGGCGTGCCAGAGCGACCTCACAGGAATGAATTAGGTAGTCATGGGGTGACAGTGCATGGAGGCGTTGAGGAGGCTGTGCTAATCCTGGCGCAGTGGCATACCACATTCCCTTGGCGGGCATTGCCAATGTGTTTGTACGCAGGTCAGGGTTGCGAGGTATTTTGGCAAGCAAGGACGGCTTGCATTCTCGATTCCATGATCAAACATCTGGGAATGCCGACGCTTCCAGAGAACAATCTCGTGCCAACGGAGGCGGGATCGGCACGTGCGGCACTGTCACGACAACGCAATCACGCACAGCGCCCTGCTCCGCCAGAGCCGCGACTCCATTGTGCTCGAGACTGGCGACTACCCCCGCCGCCGTCGATTCCCATTGTGCGTGTACAATGTGCGGTCGCGCTCATCCTCTGCACGTCTCGCCAACGCCATCAACTCATCCAGGGGCGTGTCTGCAGCTGTCCTCATTCCCACGGTGGCCATCCATACTTACACCAACTTATGCTGCCATCCGACCCTGGACGTGGCGCCACGAGCAAGACGCTGAGATCGGGGATGCCGCTTCCACCCACAATACAAAAAAGCTCGGATGCTTTGAATTCCACATGCCACGCAACCCGTATCCATGCATGAAGGCGGCAACCACAACATACCAACGCGCGAACATGCACACATGGTTTTCCGCACACGTGGACAACATCGAACCATCAAGCGCCCTAGGACGAGACAAAGCGCGAAGGCGCATTCAACCTGCAACTGTCAGAGCGCAGATCTGCTCTGATGGCAAAGCGTAAGAAGAGTGAGTGCGACCTGGGTGTGGTGTGGTAGCACCAATAGGTCGAACTTATGCTGCATGACCAGGGCCCACTGGTAAAAGATCTCGCGGAATATCCCGAGGCTGTCCTGGAACGACGCCGTTCTGATTCGCCAGGAGCAGGGGGGGGGGGGGGCCTGCGTTCGCACCTCCCCATTGCCTGCCCCTCTCCTCATGCGCCCCCCCCCTTCACCCCTGACCACGCACGTTCCCTTCGCCCTCCTCCATCCCTCCAGTTCCCCCCCCCCCCCGAACAAAGACTACACACTACACCCGTATGCATCAGCATCGCCATTGACCTCCCGCCCTGGGCCCCCACCACTGCACGAAGACGGAGCCAGTCTGCTCACAGATCGGCTTGGTCTTCGTGCTGCCCGCGACCCCAAGAGTGCGTTCGCTCGCTCGCCGTGGCGGGAACCTACAGCAATGTAGCACTACTGCATGATGAGCCGTCGTCTGGATCGGCGGGGGGAAGAAGGCGATGACCGAGAAGGAAAGACGACGAGCGGGGCAGAAGGGAGGTAGCGAGCGCGCAAGGAGGCACCCAGCTCAACACATAGAAGCGTAGAAGCTGTCTTGAACCTTACCCTACGAAGGTGATGGAACCCACCACCAGAAACAGCAGCACTTTCTATAATGCTTAAGAAGTGTATTACTTGAGCGGGACAAGCGGAGGCCCAGGAAAGAGAGGACCGGCCAAGCGAAGCCACTAGGGCTGCCTGTTGAAAGCCTCTGTGAAACTCACTGGCCAGAAAAGTTCACAGCACAGCTTGCTCACCGTTGACGCATCAATGGTTTCATTCTGATCCCCTGCCAATGACCCACTCGAAGCCCGCCCTGGGCGAAGCATTCAAATGCCACGCGGCCCCCATAGTCTTCTCGCATCCAACGGCGCGCCCTGTCGGACCAACTGCATGATTTGACACTGGCGCACGGAGCTAATTGGCCACCGATGGGGGATCGGCTCATGCCAAGGCGATTGAAATGCGGCCGCCAAGCGGTTGCGACATCGCGAACTCGCTGGAGTGGCCTGGAGAGCTCGGAGCAGGGAAGGCTAGGGGCTAGAAAGACTGGGTGGTGCAGCCCAGGCTACAATGATTGTCGAGACTGTGGCTGTCAACAATGACTGCGGCCAGTACTTTCGGCCACACGACTGGCTGCTCCTCACCGCAGCCATGCTGAAAGATCCTTGAAGCCGCTGGTCTCAACTCGTCGCCGCCATCATCGCCGTAGCATGTGTCACAACTCTATCAGCGAGCTGAGTGCCGCAGCCACCAGTCAGTGCCAACGCATCACCGATCCATCATCAGCACGGCCACCACGACGACCATCGTAAACCACCTTCGTCACCATCGTTACTGTTGCAAGTGCTATCATTGTCAATACCGCTGGCACCGTGCATGCAACTGCTACTACGATCACGAAGTAAGATCTGTGCCGCAATGGTCCTGACGGTGCCTCGCAGGATGTCCTCTGATCTCCTTGGCAACATTTGATATACGCGAGGCTGCACATAACTCGTCTAGCACAACACGCAGAATTCACATGACTACATACGTATGTCCATCAAAGGCAGATATACAGCAATCCATGACACGTCTGCAACTACCTCAGACAAGCTTGACAACGCAATGCACGCATCCACAACCATGCGGATGCCGCAGACATGCTAACTCGTGATCGACAGGCCAAGAAGCTTGACAAGCCAAACATCCACCCCAATCATCCAGTATACAATCTTTGCACGGGAGGGTCAGAGGCCGAGGGGCTCGGGGAAAGGAGGGGTGAGTGACGCGCGTGGGAGGGGTAAGCTAGGCGCGCTCGCGCCATGTTTGACATCCGACGCCGCTCCGTCCCATTGCGCTGATTATTATATATCCGCCGACGGGTGTCTTAGCGGACATGGAACCCGCAAAGAAGCAAATCGTGTTATGCGCAATCTGCAAAATGGAATATGTATATTGTGTGGGAGGATTTGGCGGATTAGCACAAATTATGATCACGAGGAAGAGGATGATAATAAGGAATGCGGATGCCGAGGCGGACCAACAGCAGCAGGAGCAGATGCACGAGGGACGGGAGGAACACAAGGACCAGCGGAAGGCCGAGGAGTCGAACGATAGGGGGGCGACGATGACGAGGAAGGACTCGGATCCAGAATTGTGGCCCGCCCTCAGACGGGAGCAAGTCGTTGATACTGGCATGCAGCCAACGCTGCAGCGGGAGCACCGCTTTAAAAAACCAAAAACGTCTCGTTTGGAAATCTATAGGACAAGCATGGCTTTACATCCTTTTACGCTAAAAACGCGCTATGGGGTAGAACAGCTGCCCGGCTGGTACAGGATCCAAGAGAAAATGGGCATGGGGATTATGAGGAAGAGGTGGGGGAGGAGGAGGAGGAGGAAGAGGAGGGGGAGGGAGGTGGGAGGAGGGGGGAGGAGGTGGGAGGAGACAGGGGGCACGCAAGGAGGCAAGGAGGAAATGCGACAAAAGTTGAATCGTAGCCGAGAGGGCACAATCGGGGGGTGGCCTGTCTCCCCCGATCCCTCTCCCCATGTGATCCCCTTCCCCTCTGTCTCCCGCCACTCCCTACGTCAGCCCCATACCTGCCGCTCAACTCCTCATCCTTCTTCCGCCTCCCTCCACCGATCCTGCCTCCCAATCCGTCCCTCGCTCCCTGAGGGGGGAATACCGTGGCAGGGGCGTCCTCCAGGACGGCAGAGACCTCTGCGTGATCCAGGAGGCCCTGCCCCTCCGAGAAGCGGACCAGCTCCGCCCCAGCAGGGTACCTGAGGAGAAGGAGGAGCAGAAGTAGATGCCCCCTAGATGGGGTCGGAGAAGATGGGGTCAGAGGATCGCGCCGCATCGGCGATGCATCGGCGATGCATCGTCGATGCATCGGCGTTGCACAGGCGATTCATCGCCGACGTCGGCGATGCATCGACGACGTCGACGTGGAGAAATTCGGGCTCCACATCGAGCCGCATCGGCGATGCATCGGGAAGGGAGGGAAGGAGGGAGGAATGGAGGAGGGATGGGGGCGAGGGAGGGATTGGGGAAGGAGGGAGGGAGGAGGGAAGGAGGGAGGAAGATGCGAGGGAAGGACGGGAAGGAGGGAGGATGGAAGGACGGGGGCGAGGGAACGATGACGACCCGTTATCCGAGGAGGCAGAGGCACCTGGCCGCGGCACGGGACCTGGGAGGAGGCTGCGGGGGTCACAACGTGGACCCCCAGAGGTCTACCGGGGACGCAAACCCGGGTCCTCCTCTTCGTCCTCCTCCTCCTCCTCCTCCTCCCTCCTCCTCCTCCGCCTCCTCCCTCCTGCTCCTCCTCGTCCTCCTCCTCCTCCTCCTCCTCCTTCCTCCTCCTCCTCCTCCTCCTCCTCCTCCTCCTCCTCCTCCAGCTCTGCAGGATCCTGCAAGACCCTGAAGATCCTGCAAGATCCCGCGCCCAAGCCGGGGGCCGTGCAGCCCAGGCTCTGCGGGTCCCTGCAAGATCCGGCGCTCTGGAATCACCCCCGGTTGCATGGACCCCCGTCTCTCGAGTCCTGGGTCTAGTTAAACCCCCTCCTTGGCACCGGTTTCCCATTCCAGTTGAACAGACAGACAGACAGACAGACAGACAGACAGACAGACAGACAGACAGACAGACAGACAGACAGACAGACAGACAAGTCAAACACCAGGTGGTGCGTGGGCGTGAGCACGGGTAGAAAATACAGCGCTCTCTTATTCGGACAACAGGACGGGCCGACAAAGAAACGCGGGCGGGCAAGAGACGCCGACAAAGAAACGCGATCAAAAACAGATCTTGCGCGAGATGGCACGGCGACCTTACGCGTAAACTGACACGGGCCGCCAGCGCGGCACGCCACACTGCAGGCGAGGGTGCCTACGCGCGACCTTGCGCGGGCAGCCTACGCGCCAATGTTGGCGAAAACGATCCTGTCTCTTGCGTTGCTCGCCCAGTAAGGGCCCCCAGAGGCCGAGAGTTGCCAACACCTCCCGCCGAGTTTGTTTGTTCTCCTTGGGCGGGAGAAAATGGAGGGTGAAGGAGAAGGTCGACAACGACGACCGCGATGACCACGACGACGACGGCGAAAACGACCCCGACGACCACGATGAAGACCACGACGACGACGACCACGACGACGACGACGACCACGACCACGACACGACGACGACGACGCCGACGCCGACGCCGACGCCGACGACGACGACGACCACGACGACCACGACGACCACGACCACGACGACCACGACGACCACGGCGGGGATGAGGCGATGAACGTTCGCTGGTCGTTATGGGGACCTCCCGGGAGCCACATTCTTCACCCATGCATCGATGCTGTGTCGAGCGTCCGCCGTCTTGAATCGAACTGGAGTCGAGCTAGCGTCGATCCTGAATCGAACTCGGTTCGGGCTCGGCCCGAACAGATCAGTCTGTTGGCCCCGGGAAGGCCCCCGAAACGATTATCCAAGGAAGTTTGCGTTTCGCTTCAGGCACCCCCAGAACACCCTCGATACGGCGCAGCTGCTGGACAGCACCCCGAGCCTGGAAAACCTGGGAGAAGGCGGGGGCAGGAAGCGGAGAAGGAGGTAGAGGAGGAGGAGAAGGACGACGACGACGAAATCGACGACGACAACGACGAAGACGACGACGACGACGACGACGACGACGACGACGACGACGACGACGACGACGACGACTACGACGATCAAGACGACGACGACGACCACGACGACAACGACGACATTGGCGATCAGGGGGAAACCTCGACCGGGAATCGGCGACACATCGCCGACAGATCGGCCGTAGGCCCCCGATAGCGAAACCGCACGTTCTTAGGCGGGGTGGACTATCAGGCCCCTATCGGCAATGAGTGGGCGAGGAGGAGGAGGAGGTGGAGCAGGAGCAGGAGGAGGAGGTGGAGCAGGAGGAGGGGGAGGAGGATAAGCAGGGGGGGAGGAGGATAAGCAGGGGGGGGAGGAGGATCAGGGAGGGAGGAGTAGGAGGAGTAGGAGGAGGAGGAGGAGGAGGAGGGAGGAGGATAAGCAGGAGGGGAGGAGGAGGAGGAGGAGGAGGAGGAGGAGGAGAAGGAGGAGGAGGAGCAGGAGGAGGAGGAGGAGGAGGAGGAGGAGGAGGAGGAGGATAAGCAGGAGGGGAGGAGGAGGAGGAGGAGGAGGAGGAGGAGGAGAAGGAGGAGGAGGAGCAGGAGGAGGAAGAGGAGGAGGAGATGGAGGAGGAGGAGGAGGCCGATGCGTCCCCCCCCTTGAACCTATCCCCTGGTGGCTTTCGGGTCCTAACTCGGGCCTGCAGCGGCCGGCCGGGACGACCCGGGCACCCCCGGAACGACCGAAAACCTCCGACCCCGAGCCTCGGAACTTCGTCCCCGCCCACTGGGCCTATCTCGGAGAAGAGAAAGGTACCCATACCTCTACCCTTCGCTCGTTGTTCCCCTTCTCGACCTCCTCGGAGTCCCTCGTCGCCACCGCTGGATACGCCTCGAAGTTCTGGTCAGAACGCACACTGGCAGAGGTCCTGGGAGTGGCGGTATGGGTACCTTTTGGTCTCCCCACCATCCCCCCCCAACGCTCCCGCCACTGAGCCTACGCATCCCCCCTCAGAGCCCTGCGCCCCCTAGCGTGCGGGCAATGCTTTTGTCCATACGTATACACTGCAGCTTGGAGCTCAGGACTCCCATCCCTACCGTCCCCAGAAGCCCGAGGCGCACTGGATATTGAAAAAATCTGTCCCCTTGGAGGCTCGATCTTTATCCAGATCCAGTGGGCCTCGGCCTTGTGGCGCCCTTTCCAAGAAAGTCCAAGACGCACTGGACATGGGTACACAGATTGCCCGCATAGCGTGGCCCCCGAGGGTGGCAGCCGCAGGAAGCGAGCGCGGGGGGGGCACTGCCGCTCCGCCATGGCCAGGTGGCTGGCCACGTGGCGGTCCAGCCGCCCGGCCTGCTTGCGGAACTCGGCGTGGGTGAGCCGCAGGTCCTGGGGCCCCAGGGAGGGGCCAGACAGAGAGAGCCAGAGGGAGAGGGAAAGAGAGAGAGAGGGAGAGAGAGAGAGTAGAAGGAGCAAAAGCCAGCATCAAGGAGAGGCCTGTTTGCGTTCACCGGGGGCCGATGCCAAAACTCGTCGTTGATGCCGCTTGCTCTTGCTATTGCTACTGCCCAGAACACGGTGATAAGTTGAATAACGGGTAGCTTCGTCTCACCACTAGTACATTCCGTTTCTGACTGAACGTGTAAGTATGGTCCTCTTCTGGTTACGATTACTATTTGTAGGAGCGCGTTTCTTTATGTTCGGCGATGACGGGCGTCATGGGGGGGGAAGGGCGGGGGAGGTATGACGTGACGCCCCCCCCCCGCCGAGTGGCTCGGGCACCACAGCATCGCCCGCGCGCACGACGCGACGAGCGACGAGCGACGAGCGACGACGACGACGCGAGCAGCATGTAAGTGGCGATCTGCCCATTGCGCCTGTGTACACCACAACGCTCGCGTGCACCACACCGCGCGTGTGCACCACAGCGCCTGCGTACACCGCAACAGCCGTGTGCAATGCACCGCCCGCGTATTCCACAATACTTGGGAGCACTACAGCGCCGGTGTACATACACCGCAGCAGCCATGTGCAACACAACGCCTGTGTACACCACAGTGCTTGTGTGCACCGCAGCGCCTGTGCACGCCACAGCGCCTGTCTACACCACAGCATCCGCGTGCAACGCAGCGCTGGTGTACACCACAGCGCCTGCGTGCACAAGATAGGTAGAAGGAACATGTACGTCAGGATCTGCTGCGGACAACTAAACGCCACGCCAGGAAAATTCTGATAATCGAATACGAGATTTGTCCTTCCTCCCTCCTCCTCCACCTCCTCCTCTTCCTCCTTTTCCTCCTCCTTCTTACCCCCTGTCGTGCGGCATGGCGTTACAACGCACGTGCGCATCTCAGCGTGCACCGCAGAATGGTCGATTGAATCGGTCCGCTTGGTTCTCGGACGGCCAGTTTAGCTGGAGCCTCCTGGACGCTATTGGGAGTTAGGGTGATGCGGGCGGACTCGGGGGGAATCGTAGATTCCAGCGGCGCTCCTTTGTCCATGAGGATTTGTTTTCCATTGTTCTCTGGAATCCACACGCGCTCCATTTTGTCACAAGGATCCCTGCTGAAATTCTATACACAACAATGGTGTTGTGTTGCACACGGTTGATGTGGTGCACACAGGCGCCGTGGCGTCCACAGGCACTGCAATGCACGCAGGCATTGTGGTGTACATTGGTGTTGTGTTGCGCACGGCTGATGTGGGGTACGGAGGCGCTGTGGTGTACGCAGGAGCTGCTGTGCCCGCAGGCACGGTGGCACAAACTGACGCTGTGTTGCAAGCGGCTGCTGTGGTGTACATCGGCGGCGTGGTGTACACAGGCGCCGCGGTGCACGCGGGCACTGTGATGTACACAGGCGTTGTGGTGCAGATCGTCATTCCTAAGCATTCCCAGGCGCCGCCGGCGCGAAACGTAACGTCATCGACTCCCTCCCCCCCCAGATGATTGCCGTCATCGGCCCGGACTCAAAAACAGGCTCCAGCCGCGTCCGCGCGCACGACGACGATGAGCGACGAGCGACGAACCACGAGCGACGACGACGGACGACGACGACGACGACGACGACGACGACGACGACGACGACGACGACGACGACGACGACGACGACTCCTGCGGACCAGACACCTATGCGGATTCCTACGCGGACACCTACGCGGATCCCAATGCGCACGGCGGCAGTGCCCGGAGCGCACTGGGGGGGGGAACGTTACGTCATGGGGGGGGGGAGCGGGGGCCATGACGCCCGTCATGCCCCAAGCAATAAAGAAACGGGCTCTAGAAAGTTCACTACAAAAAAACATTGTCTGGCTGAAGAAAAGGAGAGACAGAGAGAGAGAGAGAGAGAGAAAAAAAAAAATAGAGAAACACCAAAAAAGGCAGGAACCACACAACGAAAGTGTAAGGCCGCAGGGCGGAGATGTGTCCACAGCCACCGCCTCGGGTGGCGGTGGGCGTGGGCTGCCAGCCCCCCAGAAGTCGCTGGGCATCGCTGTGTCCACCGCCTCCCGGGGCAGGCTTCTTGTCCCGAGTCGCCATTGGACGGCCCCGAGGCCCGGCGAAGGCCCCCTTGGAGCCCGAAAACTGCCGAAGACCGCTCGCTCCAATTTTTCTGGAGCGTCGGATCGCTGGGTCTGGCGAGGAGGGGCACATATTTTGCGTTGGAGCAGGGACCGACCGTCATGGCATTCCTATAAACACTCTCCATTCGCAAAATGCTCGTTGTTTTTAATTGTTTTGCCGGTCGGCGCGGGTCCTCGCCCCCGTCTCCCTTCATAGGATCCACTGCTGCAAACAGTCGCACTAAGCAGAGGTCGGGAGCCAGACCGCCCCCCTCCCCCCACCTTTTTCCGCCCAATGTCGACACGCCGAATAAAAAAAACGCTCACAAAACGCAGTTCTTAGAACCGAAACACGATGTGCGAAAACAAGACAGAGTGTCAGCCAGCATGCTGCAGTGTTCTAAGAACGCTTCGTGCAGACCACCAGAGGTTCTGAGAACATTCCTTGGTGGGCCCAGGACGAGCCCAGAATCGAATCGATACGTGGCATCGGCGATCGGCATACATCGGATCGGAAGAAATCGGCACCCGAGTCGGGAAAAGCCGGATCGGCAGAAATCGGCGGGCTTGTATGCGTCCATGGAGAAATCGGAACCACAATTGGAAACCCAAGTCGAATCGGAGCGCAATCGGCAGCCATCAGAACCGAATCGCATCGAATCGGAGGAATCGAAACGAGCTCTGTGTTAGGCGAGCCAGGACGCTTCGCCACTGCCTGGTGCTTGGCGGCCTCACGCGCGGAGGCGTTCGGACGGCAGGCCACGGCCGGCGGGCGTGCGCCAGCGAGGAGGTCGAACGGTCGAGAGGAGGCACGCGCACGCACACGCGCCCGCGCCGCCCACGCGGCGGTGGCGGCAGCCACACGGGGAAGCAGTTGTGGGCTTCCTTCCTGGGTCCCACTCGGGCACTGACAGAAATCACGACGGGAGGTTTCTTTCCTCATGTTCGGCCTCTGGAGGCCCTTATCGGCCCTCGGGGCCGTCAAAAAGCGACTCAGGATGGAAAAACGGTCCAGGGGAATGGGTCGTGATCCGGGGGGGGGTCGACGGTACGAACAACTCATGACGACGGGGGTCTGGGTTCGTTCGAGGCAACATTCGGCGGCGAGCGAGGGGAAACGAAAAGCAGACGGGCTCCTCAGACGGCGGCGGGACTTCTCAGAAACCCTCGCGCCCTTGAGAGACATCTTCGGTGTCTTGGGGGAAGGCCGAAATAACTCTTATCAGAAGGCCGGGGAACTTCCGAGCCTTCTGAGAAGGACCGCCCACCTCGCCGCCGATACGTAGCCACCTTGTCTGGGAACGTGTTCGCACACTTCTTGAACGTGTTCGCACACTTCTTCTCCAGCGGCGAGGTGACGGCGCCGTCGCGATGCGCCAGCCCCGGTCACGCTTAGGCGAATTGCAACCTGGCGCAGCAGATGGGTGGACCGGATGGGGGCAGTCAATACACACACACACACACTGATACACACAATTACTTACACACGCACACATCACACACAAACTCATTCACACTCACACACACACACACACGCCGATACGTAGCCACCTTGTCTGGGAATGTGTTCGCACACTTCTTCTCCAGCGGCGAGGTGGCGGCGCCGTCGCGATGCAAAGGCCCCTGTCACGCTTAGGCGAAATGCCACCTGGCGCAGCAGTTGGGTGGACCAGATGGAGGCAGTCCACCACACACTTACACACAGTTACACACACCCTGACACGCACCCTAACACACACACAAACATATATATACACACACGTGCGGGCACTCCTAATCACGACGGTGGCAGCCTGTTTCGGGGAGGCCTGGAGCGCCGTTGGCCCGCTTGGGGCGCTTTTTGGGGGAGGGCACGATGGCAGCCATCCCTCAATATCGCGAGATTCAAGACGGGAGAGGTGCGCAAGCGGGGGGAAGACAGAAACGGGATACAGAGATGCAGAGAGGCCGCAGGGGGCATGAGGGGGGAGAGGGCAAGGGGATCGGGGGAGAGGACTCCAGAGGAAAGGGAGAGGGATGGGAGATGCGGCATGCGGAATCCGAGCACGCCCGGCGCAGTGGGCCTCTCTGGTGGTGTACTTCAGGAAGAACAGCATGGTCTCGACGTGGGAGAGCAGCGGGCGCAAGTCCTGCGCACACGGGCTGGTCACACGGGAGGAGGGAGAGACCACGCCAACGGGCAGCGCGCCGACCGGCCTCTGGAAGAAGGGGTCCGAGAAAGCGAGGCGGGCGACACTGCAGAGGGCCGAGGCGGGGACGGGACGAGAGCACAAAGGGCAGGGGCCCGAAAAGCGCGGACCGACCAGACCGCGGGCCTCCCCGGACCCAGCACTCCCACGCCGTGCTCTCCTCCGAGCGTGGGTGGACCCCCAGAGATCTGGACCCCAGGCTGGGGCTTTCACCCGAACAGTTTTCGTGGACGGTCCCAGGGCCCGGCGGGGGCCCCCCGGAGGGCGAAACCTGCAACCAAAAACCTGCAGCCGTCAGCCCTGCAGAACGAGAGGAGGTGGGGGACCCCACACAGCCGTCCACGATCGAGGGAGGGAGGGGAGGCGAGGGGTGGATTGCGAGTACCTTATCTCGCAATGCACATATACATATATATATATATGTATCGCATTGCATGTTCCTCAGACACACCAGATGTCCTTCCGCATCGAGGCTACGGCCTCCACCGCCACGCCGAAACGGGCGCGTGCGGGCGCCCACGCGGCGTGCGCACGGAGCTGGCGTTCGTTCGTTCGTTCGTTGCGGGTAAAGGTGTGCCGGCTGTGGTCGAGCTGAGGCCCGCATAATCCAGCCGCACGATGGCCGCAGAGGCTTGACAGAAGCTGCCCTCCCTGCACCCCGAATCGAGCATCTCCTCCTCCTGCTGATCCCTGATTCCGAATCGAATCAGGAGGAGATGCCACCCCAACCCGACCCGAAGTCACTCTCAGGATCGTCAACGACAATTTCTTCTGGTGGGGGGGCACTCCAGAATATCGAGGAACCAGGATGGGAGCCGTACAACCCCTAACCCGAAATTGGGGGAACTGGGACCTTGGGGTTGGGTCGGGGTGTTTTGGTACTTAATGGCCGACTCCTCCTCCTACTCGCCCTCCTCCTCCTCCTCCTCTTTCGCTCCCACCTGCCAGCTCGTCTTGCTGCCTCCTCCTCCCCAGAGGGTGTTGGCCCTCCCATAGGGTGACGAGGCACGGGGTCGACGGCGGGAGAGAAGGATTCGACGACGGCCGAGCGCAAGGGTGAGGGCGAAGAGCAGGACGAGGGCAAGGAGGCACGGGAGCGACGGCGGGAGGGAGGCATTCGACGACGGCCGAGCGCAAGGGTGAGGGCGAAGAGCAGGACGAGGGCAAGGAGGCACGGGAGCGACGGCGGGAGGGAGGCATTCGACGAGGGCCGAGCGCAAGGGTGAGGGCGAAGAGCAGGACGAGGGCAAGGAGGCACGGGAGCGACGGCGGGGGTGATTCGAGGAGGGCCGAGGTTGAGGATGAGGGCGAAGAGCATGGTGAGGGTGAGGAGGCCCGGGCGCGACAGCGGGACGCAGGGAATCGACGAGGGCCGAGATTGAGGGTGAGGTCGAAGAGTGAGAAGAGGGCAGGGAGGCACGGGAGCGACCAGAGGGGAAGATGTCCGTGGAGGGCCGAGAAGGAGGTGGAGGACAAAAACATGATACGAGTAAGGACTGGACTGGTCGCCTGTAGCGGGGTACGGTTGGCCTTCGAGAGATAGTCTGCAACGCTGCTCTCCGAAATGCAGGCTATCCCTGTGAGGCGATCCCTACGCGAGGACCCCTCCTGTGCACGCCATCCCCCTGCCAGGGCCTCGCCAGAGCTGCTTCGGTGCACGCTCTTCCCAGGATGGGAGAGACGGGCTGGCGGCGCCACACCGGGGGGTAAGGCAGGTACCCAGACCACAGATCCCCCGACGTCATGTTTTGTTTTTTCCCAACATAATACAAAACACCTGTCACGTCGAACCCCGGAGGTCTTGACCCACTTCCCTTGACGGCTCCTTCATCCTGAATACTTGTTTGACCGTCCCGAGGCCAGGTCAGGGCCCCCCAAAGGCTGACGATAGAGAAACGTCTCCCGTCGTGATTTCTTTGTCACGACTCCAGGAGGTCTGGGAAGGCGGCGAGGGTTTGCCCCCAAGCGGCGCGCAGGCCACCGAGAGGCCCAGCTCCAACGCCGGAACGGCGGGCGCGGGCGCATGGAGACGCTCGTGCACGCCGCTCCCGGCAGGCGCACCGCGCCCCTCCCTCGCCCGCGCGGCACACCGGAGGGGACCTGCCGGAGCCAGGGAGGGGGAGGGGGGAGGGGGGAGGGGAGGGGAAGCTCGACCCGAGCTCGACCCGAAGACTCCAGGTCCCCGAGGATCCCTTGGAGATCACGGGGTCGGGCTCTCCGTGGAGATCTCAGGGAAGAGCTCTCCGAGGAGATCACGGATCGAGTTGGTTCGGGTGTTCTGCCGTGGAGATCACGGGGTCGAGCTCTCCACCTTCGAGCTGTTTCTCGCCTCGCCCTCCCCGCCTCATTTGGTGGGAGGGCCGGGCACCTGTCTTGCATGCCCGCGGCCCGCCGCGGGCCACTTGCGCCACGGGCGGCGCGCCCAGTTTCCTGCGCAAGAAAAAGGAGGTGGGAGAGGGCAAGCTGTGGCGAAGAGCTGCGATCGAGTCGCACGGTCGGGAGTCGAGCAGGGCAGTGATGCGAAGAGAGGAGGACCCAAGCCCCTGCAAAGAGGCGTTAGCAGACGGGCCGGTAGCCAACGGTGCGTTTTCAATTGTGCTTTCGAGAAAAACGATTTGTCGCGCACAAGTGCGAGGAAACCCCGCCGCCCGCCCAGAGTGATGATGATGCTGATCATGATGATGATGATGATGATGATGATGATGATGCTGATGATGCCGATGATGCTGATGCTGATGCTGATGCTGATGATGTTGATGATGTTGATGTTGTTGATGCTGATGATGGTGGTTGTGATGATGATGATGATGATGATGCTGATGATGCTACTGATGATGCTGATGATGATACGGATGATGCTGATGCTGATGCTGATGATGATGCTGATGCGGATGCTGATGCTGATGATGATGCTGCTGATGCTGATGCTGTTGATGCTGCGGATGCTGCTGCTGCTGCTGCTGCTGCTGCTGATGATGATGATGATGATGATGATGATGATGATGATGATGACGATGATGATGATGTGTCGGCGCTTTTGCCGTCCCGATGTATGACGCACTGATGCGAGGTACGTGCCCCGTCGCCCCGTCCTCGCTGGAAGAGGGGCCCTTGGCTACCACCCCGTTGACGAACGCCCCGTTGGCAGGGCTTGGAGGAGGCCAGGAGCAGAGCGCAGACGAGGAGGGACGGGCGGGAGGACGCGCCCAGCGCGCCCGAGCGCGGCCCCACCCAGGAGCGGAGCGGGGTCGCCGAGGCGAAGAGCAGAGTCGGACTGACGACAGGGCGGGCGGCGGTGAGCCTGGAGCGTCGGAGGACGGAGGAGACGATGAGGCGAGGAGCGAAGGAGAAGAGGCAGGCACCGCATCATGAGGAGGAAAGGTGGGGAGGAGGGGCGCAAGGAGCGAGAGACGGGTGGGATGGGGGGGGCACAGGGGAGCAGGCAGGGGAGGGGGGGGCAGGCACAGGCGAGAGCACAGACACGCCCTGAGCCCTCCACCCGTCGGCCCTGCGGGGCAGGGTGGAGCCTGGCAGCGCCCCTGGCACGAGCCCTCGCCCTCCACACCCCGTGGGAACTGTCGGGCGACATGCCTGCCAGGTTTCGGACGGGGAGCCCAGGGCCTCGAGCAGAGGCGACGATGTACGATGCGCGTGCAGCGAGCGGGTCTGCGCACGCCAGCCTGCTGCACCGCCGCGCGCATGCGATCAGACGCACGGGTGGCGCGCGCGCACGACGGTAAACGCACCTGAATGGAAGGCATGAGCACTTGAGATGGAAATTGGCCACGACAAGGACTCCTTGGGAGAATTGTTCTCGTCCTCGACCAGCGCCCTTGCACGGGACAAGAACGCCTAGCAGAGAAGAGCGGTAACGCAAATTCCCCTCCCCCGGCAACACAAATTTGGCATCAAGAGGATCTCGACCGGGTGCGACGTATGGCTTCACGTCGCTACTCACCTGCTGCACACGCCTGCTGCACAAGCCTGCTCGTGCGTCCAACGGGCGGCTTCCAATTGCAATTCTGCGCGCTGACGCCTTCCCCGCGATCCGCTTTCCCCTTGCATTGCTCAATGTGGGCACCGCTGCGGTCACCGCAATGACCAATTACAGCCGCCACGTGAAATGACCAACGCACCCACATCACACGTGTATTGTGTTCATGGCTGCGCACCTCAACCACAACAGAAATGTGCGACCACCGCTACATCCAACCAACAGTACATCTCGAAACCGTCACGTCATCGCACCGACCCGCCGCTGCAACATAGTCTGCTGTGTCGTGCCATCCCATCGGGCGCGCTATGCACTACGGACGCCATGTCAGAAGTCAACGCGAAGCGACACCTCGACGTTCTGTCAGCGGGTAGAGGGGGTAACATATCGCCACACAACAGGTGTCCACTCCAATATCAGGTGTCGCCCTGCTCCAGCCGAGTTCAATGCATGCCTATACGCGTATGTTTTCCCAGCCATGCAATCACCGCTGCGTGCGCGACTGCTGGTTCTCACTCGGAAAGGATCAGGGGCTCTCCTAAGCCGGATGCAACCTGTGCAACGTCCAGGGGACCTGTGCCGACGGGAAGAGCACCACCAGACAACGGTTGCCCACACGAACGTGCGGCGTGAGGGATCCACCATGTGCCACAGAGGAACCGTGGCCCTTCGCCGCAGCTCCCCATCCTCAAGAGCCATTTTGGACGCACACACTCTCCAGGATAACTGCAATCCAGGGTAACTCCAGTTTGGGACCCCGAGGCGCGAATCTGTAGCTACACCTGACGGCCCCCAACCCCGATGATTCGGGAGGGTTGGACGCCCGCGTTATTTGGGATAGCTGCGGTCCGAGGTAACTCCGGTTTGGGCCCCCCGAAAGGCGCATCTGTAGCTACCCCTGACTGCGCCCAGCCCTGATGGCTCGGGGTTCTGAGCCATCTTCCTCCCAACTTCTCCGTCAACGGCGCACACACTGGGTCCCAAGATCAAAACAACCTCTCCGTCCACCTCCCTCCCCCCCCCTCCTTCCCTCTCCGCTCAGCCCAACTCCTTCTCAATTGGGTAGGGCTCGATGGATCCCTACCTGGCATCTGCAATTCTGTGGGCACTGTCCCGAAGGTCGGCTGCCTACAAATTCAGCTCACCTTCCTGAGATCACCCCGCGAAGCGAAAGAAAACACACAAAACACTCTCCTTCGCGCCCCCTCTTTGCCAACCACCCCTTCGTCCCCCGCCCCCTCCCTCCCTCCCCCCCTCTCCCTCCACCTCCCACCTCCCTCCTCCCCCCCCCCCCCCGTCTCCGCTCACCCCCTTCCCACCAGCCCCTCATTTCCGCCCCGCCTGTCCCTTGCGCCCACCTCCCTCCGCCACCCCGCGCCCCGCCTTCTCCCCCAACGGACTTCTTAGGCACGCTGCAGGGCCACGCGGGCCCGAAGCGCCAGGCTACCCGCGCGGACGCGGGCACTCGAGCACTCGACGCGATGCGCGGCGAGCGAAGGGCGGGTGCCCGTCAGTGGACAGGCAGCGCGGGGCTCCCCCAGTGGGCTGCCCCTCCCTCCACCCATCCCACGGGCGCTCCCCCCCATCCCCCACCCCCCCAAAGGGGCCCGCCGCCACGCACGCCGCTTCGCAACCAGCCGCTTGCCCCCCTGCAGGGCGAGGAGGAGAGAGAGGAGGAGGAGGAGAAGGAGGAGGAGGAGGAGGAGGGGAGGAGAGAGGAGGAGGAGGAGGAGGAGGAGGAGGGGGGGAGGAGGAGGAGGAGGAGGAGGAGGAAGGAGGAGGAGGAGCGAGCGTCCCAAGAAGAAGGTGCCTCCTCACGCCCTCGCCTCGCCCGCGCCCGCCTCGGAGCCTCTCAGGGCCTCGGTGCCGACGTGCACGTGGTCGCTGGTGTCGGTGAGGTTATAGGAGCCCGCGCGAGCAGGCAGAGCGGCACGAGACCGCGTCGACAACGTCGAAGAAAATGCAGTAGACCGCGAAGTTGAAATGTCTGGATTGTAAGTGAAAGGGTCCAGAGAGGCGCTCAGCGTGCCATCGTGGGGAAGGGCCGCATCGGCAACCGCGGCCCGCACAGACCTGTGCAGCATCTCGCCGACCAGGGACGGCGGCAGCGCGACACCGCACCAGTCACTAAGTAGACGAAGGTCGTTTTCGATAGCGACTGCCCTTCGCAAGAACATGGGGCGACGACGGAGCTAACCCAGAGCAGGAAGAACGCCATTGCCTCTCAGAGATGAGCCTCGCCTCAATGATCGTGTCTACACCAGGTGGGATGTCTTTGCGGTAGACCTTGAGGGCATCCCACATGGCCTTCCAGCGCCTCTGTAGAGTGAGGTCGCTCATGGCCCTCTGAACAACCTTCGCCGCAATCTCATCCAGAACTGTGGATCGTGCCGCTTCCTTTCGACGGCGTGCTCGATGTAGTTGGCGTGCGCCTGGGCCAGAACAGGTACGGCAATGCAACCACAGCCACCAGCAGCAGGAGAAGCGTCATGGGCGTCCTCATCACGAACGTCACCGAACCCAGCAATTGACGGCTCCGCCACCGTGGGCCGAGAAGCGGGTGGCAAGCTCGAAGCGCGGGCAAACGGCGTACGTGCCGTAATCGACGGAATAGGTACCAGCATAACGACATTATGGTGCGACCGGCTCCATGCACTCAGGGAGCGGGTGCGGCGACGAGTCGAGCGAACATGACGGTGTCCAAGAACGTGTCCAGGACGAGCCTCAGAAGCGCGCGAAGCACCCCCGGGGGCTCCACGCACAGTAGCAGCAGAACCATCAGCATCAGGAGCACGAGGAGCAGGAACGCCAGCATGAGCCCGATCCACAGCAGGGCTCCGAAGCCGAACACAATCGTCAGCTTCGACAGGAGGCAGGACACCAGTACCTAAGTAAGGAACTGCGCCCACACGAGGAAGCTTTGCCCGAGCATCGTTGAGACCAGCAGCAGCACGATCACCAGGCAGTTGACGAGAAACGTCACGCCGAACCACAGCCACACCACAAGGTGCCGCACGATCACTAGGAGGAATGGCAGAGCCACCAGAGGTAGCGGCCGCATCAATGCAATCAGGATCACGCCGTACGACTTCACAAACTCCGGACCCACCCAGGCCCGTCACGAAGTCGCAGTCGAGGGACTTGGACTCCGTCGGCACCACATCGCACTCAACCCCAGCAGCAGCAAGTTCACCAGGGAGAAGAGAATCATGCAGATCACATGCGGCACCACGAGCGCCCCGAGCAGCATCAGAAGCAGCGTCGCGGACAGGGTGACGGCCAGCACCACGATCACCACGCAGCGGAGAATGAACGCCACGAGCAGCGGCGGCCGCGTCAGCACTAATGTGACTAATGTGCCCACGCAGAACGGCTCCATCGAGAGCTGCAAGAAGAACGCCGCACTCTCCCGCAAAACGAAAAGAAACAGGCCATTGACGGTCCGCTTTGTCTTCGAACGCGCAGAACTCGGATTCGAAGTCCAGGGCGAGAACGAATGACGAAGCCGAAGCAGAGTCTTCCGACAGGCTGGCGTTACTGAAGTCCCAACTGGCGTGAACACCATGCACTGACGCCGCAAAGCCGGAGACACCTTCCTGAACACGATGCGCATCAACGAAAGAGCCCTGATCATGTATTCCGCCACCTGTGAGATGTGCGAGCCATCGCAGAAGCCGACATCCGTGGGCAAGAGCGATGACACCAGCGGCGTGTGAAACAACGGCACGAGCTGCGCGATGATGCCGACAGATTGGACCAACGTCCGCACCGATGCGCACAGGGTTGCGTCGTCAGCCGAACCCCCGCAGCGCGGAGGGATAAGACCATGCAGCAACGGCTTGCGAGAAGATAGAGAGGGCGAGCTTGCAGGAACCAGTGTGTCCAGGCAGAGCGCCACAAGAGGAGGCGGAACAGCACCGCAGGAGCCCAGAAGGGGGACACGATGTTTGGCGCGCCCAGAACGCGCAGTCTGCTGAAGAAACCGATGTCGAACTTCTGGTGAAATTGATTCGCCAGCCGCCGCAACAGCACCACGTCAATGATGAGAAGGATGACCATTGTGTTGTTGGAGCTCAGCGTGAGCATGCAGCCCTTTGATCATGCAGCGAGCGTTGTGGAGCAGCGGCGTAGCGACCGCCACGAATTGGCACCCAGGGACACGAGGCCGAATGCACTGCCGACGAATAGCGCGAGCTCGCCGAACTGCACGTGCATGATGGCTGCGAGAGTGAACCATCTCAATGCATTGACTCCGCCCCACCAGAAAGGGCAGAAGGCGCCACCATCGACATGCAAGAGAGCTGAGGGCGCGGGCGCGGGGCCCCCCTCCTGACATGGACTCTTGAGCCAAAATGGCTACGGAGGAAGGAGGAGGAGGAGAAGGAGGAGGGGGAGGTGGAGGAGGAGGGGGAGCAGGAGGAGGGGGAGGAGGAGGAGGAGGAGGAGGAGGAGGACAAGAGCAAACCCAAGACTCATCAACGAGATAGCAATAGTATGTACACCCTTCCTCCAAGTTCCCTCGTCACAGGCCCCATAAAAAAAGTCCTCTTCATTGAAGGTAATGCCCCATTGGACGACAGCCGTTTGAACATCCGGAACTGTGCCGAAACTCAAGCCATGGGACTTCAACGCCGCCAGCCACGGTGACTGTTGCGTCTTGACGATCGTGAACCGCGCCAAATCACCACTCCTGGTACTTCAACACAATGAATCAACGTGACTGGTGCGCCCTGACAGTCCGTCATCGTGGCAAGACGTCATCTCTGGGACGCTAACCCTGAACATCCTCGAGGCTGCTGCTAACTCCTGCCACGAACGCGCGTGGCGCTACGGCAAGAAACACATCTCGAGGAGGAACCGCCCTTCACCCGTGCAGCTCTTGCGAACTTCGAGGATGATTGCGCGCAACGCTACGACGAGAACCTCATTCTGAAAACGGGCCGCCCACCATTCTCTTGCAGTTTGTTTTAACGACTGCGCGCGGCGCCAAGGTGACAACCACATTTCGAAAACGGCGCGCCGTCAATCCGTGAAGCTTCTGCATTTGTTTGAAACCAATCCGCGGGGCGCGAAAGCGAGAACGGCATGTTGAAAACGGCCCGCCCTCCAACCGAGAAATTATGTTGCAATGTTTAATATGCGTGCGCGCGTCGCTAAATCGAAAAAGATATGTTGAAAACCACCCGCCTTTTATCCGTGAAAACCGTCGCTAGTTCGAAGCTTCAGGAACATACATGGTAGGGAACTCGGAGGCGAAACGCCCAGCCTGTTCGACCGGCCTTTGGGTGCGACAGGGAGGAGTTATGTATAACGAAGAGGGATAGAGGAAAGGAGAGGAACGAGTAGGAGGAGGAGAAGGAGGAACGAGGAGGAGGAGGACGGAGAGTGTCGAGCTAGGTGCGCTCGCGCCATATCTGACATACTACCCCTCCCTCCCATCCCTTCCCATTGCGCTGACTTTTCTCCATTCGCGCACGCGTGTCATCACCGACCTTGACGCCTGTGGGGCTTGTGAGACCCTGAGACCTGCGACACCTGTGTGGGACGTGTGGAGACTGCGAGACCTGCGGGACCTGTGGGAACTGTGGGGGGCCTGCGAGACCTGTGACATCTGTGGCACCGGCGAGACCTGCCGGGCCTGTGGGACCTCTATGGGACCTGTGAGACATGTGACCCCTCTGGGACCTGTGGGACCTGCGGGACCAAACGGACCTGTGGGAGCTGAGGGGAATGTGAGACTGCGTCACCTGTGAGGCCCATGGGACCTGTCAGACCGGGAGGTACCTGCATGACGACCTGCGACGCTGGTTGGTCCTGTTGGACCTGTCAGGCCTGCAAGACCTTTGGGATCCAGCGTGCTGAGGCGGGAGCGCCATTCAGGAAGACGGGGGCACAGCACCGAACTGAAGATGAGGCCCACGCTGCAGCGAGAGCGCCGTGCTTGAAAACCTGTCAATCGGACTGCACAAACAATAGGAAACGCCGGTTCGCGAAAATCCTGCGGGTGAGAAACAAGGGGCGGAGGGGGCCGAACACTCTCAGCACATATCCGGGGAGAAAAAAAACTAAAGTTCACATTGTGTGATTGCGGAGAGGCGATCGGAGAGAGGAGAGAGGAGAGAGGAGGGAGGAGGGAGGAGGAGGAGGAGGATAGGATAAGATAAAACTCGGCTATGCGCTGTGGGTCTGATGATCCTCAACCCAACCCCGCGAGCAGTGAACCTTCAAAGGGCACTCGGGGGAACCTCTGACAGAGCGTGACGCTAGGGGCTAGCGACGAGGTCAGGGTAAAGCGCACCGTGCAGAACTCCACAAAAGATCCCTTCGTATTTCATGCGCAGTCGAGAAAGAAAAATGAGTGAGACCTGTGCGACAAGGGAAACCTCTCTTACCTGTGGGGCCTTTGGGGCCTGCGACACGTGTGGGACCTGTGGAACTGTCAGACCAGTGGTACCTGTGGGTCGACCGGTGACAGTTGTGGGACCTGTCGGACTTGTGGGACCTGTGGGGCCTGCGAGACGTGTGAAACCCCAAAAAGTGGAACACGCTGAGGCGGGAGCGAGCGCCATTCTGAACAACGGTAGCACAGCGCCGACCAGAAACTGAGGCTCACGCTGCATCGAGAAAGCAATATTTAAAAAGCTATGAATAAACGGATTGTATGACGCAGTATCTATATATATATATATGTGTATACATATAAATGCATATATACATAAAGATAAATACTAGAACCACGCGCGCTCTTCGCGCGCGCTTAGGTTCTAGCCGGGGCCAAGCCAACCTCATGCAAATCATCGGAAGGATCCCAGTACCAACCCACCACGACCACGTCATGGAAACACGTGCGCAATATTGGGCATGCGTTTCACATTGCGTGCCAAAGTTGACGAACAGCGCTCTAAACCTTTGGCCTTGTTGGGCTGCTCTTGTCACTCATTCATTCCTTCGGAGCTGTTTTCAGCGGCCAGGAAGAAGCCCAGGAGGCCCGGAGGGGAGGGGGGGGGCAGGGGGGAGCGGCGTGTGCTAGTGCGTTTGTGCGCTTGGGCCGTGACGTGCCACCCTGAACCCAAATCCGCCTCGCCGTTGTCCGCCTCCTCCTGTCTTTCTCCCTCTCTCTCTCTCTCTTGCTGTCGTCCTCGTCCCCATCATCACTCCTCCACCTCCGTCTCATGAGTATCCTCCTCCTCACCCATCTTCATGATCCTCCTCCTCCTCCTCTGTCTTGTTTTTCCTCTCCCTCTCTGCAACGGCTATCACAAACCTCGTCGTCGCATTCATTCTGAAATCGTTGTCCCCCTCGCCCTGATCCGCCACCACTCCTCCGCCTGCTCCTCATCATGTATCCGCTTGGACCAGCCTGAAACCATATCTGGGTTTCTTGGGAGCCCTCGATGAACCGTCAAGGTTGATCCTTTCCGGCAGGGGTGACACTGGGCCCTCTTGGGCTCTCTTGGGGGCCACTTGGGTTGCCATGCGCCACTGGGGTCCTCATGGGCCGGCTTGAGGCTTTCGGGGAGCGTCTCTTGGGGCTCCCTATGGTCTGCTAGGGGGGCTCTTTGGGGCCTCCTGGGGACATCTTATTGGGTTGAGGATATTCGGGGCTCTCTTGGGGAGCTGGGTTCCCGGCGCCCTATCGAAATCCCCATCTGGGGCCCGTCTCGGGGTTCTCTCGGGAGGCTGTCGGGTCGTCCAGGTGGTCTTGGCCTGGCTTGGGGCCCCCCTGGGCCGTCCGGGTTCCTTCGCGTCCGTCTGGAAGGCTCTTGGGGCCGTCTTGGATCCCCCTTGGCGCCCTCTCGGGCCGTCCTGGGGCCTTTCTTGGCTGCTTTGGGCCTTTCTTGGGCAATCTTTGGGCGAGCTGCGGACCATCGCGAGGCCCTTTTGGGCCTTGTTGGTGCGATCTTGAAGGTCTTGGGCATTTTGGACGTTCCAAATCGACACTGCTTGGAACCCATAACTTTTCAATCTCCACGGCCTCCTGGGAGCTTCCTTGGACCGATCTTCGGGTGTCGCGAAGCCTACGGGGCAATCTTGGAGCCTTCTTGGGCGAATTTGAAACGACACGGGCCGTTTTCAGGACATCTGGGGCCGTGTTGGAGCCATCTTGGGCCGCCTACAAGGCCATGGGATACCAATTCCGAGGCCTCCAATCTGGGGGGCTACACCACGGTGCATCGACGGCCAGCCCCCCTTGCGGGCCAGAACGGCCAACCACGAAAGCCAATCCTCCAAGCCACAGCGGGTTACGGAGAGGACGCTTGCGGGCTAAACCACGGTGCAACGACGGCCGCCCCCCCCCCTCCGGGCCAGATATCCGGGGCTAAGCCACGGTACAACGAAGGCCGCCCCCCCCTCTGGGCCACACATGTGGGGCTAAACCACGGTGCCACGACGGCCAAAAAAACCCTCCAGGTCGCAACGGCAGGGGCCCCGCTACCTGGGTATATATATATATATATATATATATATATATATAGGCGTGCAAATCTGACACGAAAAAAGCATTAACCAAAACAGTACGAGCAAATCCTGTGGGCTAGAGAAACAGAACGCGGAAGGGGGGCCAACAGTCTCAGCAGACATTCGGGAGGACAGGAGAATAGTACCTATCATGCATGGTGACTTTTTGTTGAGAGGAGAAGGGCAAGCTGGGCGCGCTCGCGCCATATCTGACATCCTACTCCTCCTTCCCATCCCTTCCCGTTTAGCTCATTTTCTGTACCCGCGGACGCGTGTGATGGCCGACCTGGAACTCCGTGTCCCCTGAAAAGCACCCTCATAGCAGCAAAGGTAACCTGTCGGGCCTGTGTCGGACCTGTTGGTCCTGTGAGAGGGACCTGTGGGACCTGTGGGACGTGTGAGACCTGCGACACCTGTGGGACCCCTGGGACCGGTGGGGGCCTGGAGGGCCTGTCGGACTTGTGAAACCTGCGGGACCTGCGACATCTGCCAGACCTGTGGTACATGTCGGGCCTGTGGGTTCTGTGGGAGCTGCGGGGCCAGTGGGGCCTGCGAGACGTACGTGGGACCTGCGAGGGCTGTAGGATTCAAAAAAAAGGCCCACGCTGGGGCGAGAGCGCCACCCTGAACGACGGGAGCATGGCGCCGATCCGACCATGAGGCCCAACTCCAGCGAACACCATAAAGAAAAACTGACTCTTGAAAACCTGTGTTGAGAAATTAACAAGCCGTACTCGGACGGGGCGGACACGCCCCGGACACACTCATGAGAGAGAGAGGAGATTGAGGAATTCTGAGGAGGAGGGGAATCAGGATCAGGAGGAGGAGCGGTAGAGAGAGGAAGACGGGGAGAAGAAGGAGCGAAGAGTGAGGAGCGAGGAGCAGGGAGAAGGAGGTGCAGGAGGAGGAGAAGGGGGAGCGAGGAAGAGCGAGGACGAGGAGGAGGTGGACCGAGGAGGATGGAATTGAGGAGGAGCACGATGAGGAAAGCGAGGAGGAGAAGGGCAATCAGGAGGGTGAGCGGGGACCTCGTGGTGATTCTTTCTCCCTCAGCTCGCAGACCGCGCCTCGCTGCCGAGGGAGGCCCTGTCCACGAGGCGCAGGCAAATGTCCTGCCGCGGCGCGCGCCCCCCCCCCCATAAAACAACAACAGCAACAACAACAACAACAACAACAACAACAACAACAACAACAACAAAACACCCCCTGTCTCGCGCGACGCGGCGCACGCAGTGCGCCAGAGCCGGCGCGGCCGTGGCCCATGCCCGCGGAGTTGGGGAACCGAGTCCTTCAGGTCCATTTCTCTCCCCTTTCCCTCGCTCCTTCTCCTCCTCCTGCTCCGCCATGCCTAGTCTTTATCAAAACAGCCCCTCCCTGTCGAACCCACCAAACGAGCCGGGACATCCTCACCCCGTATGATCCTGAAGACTGGAAGCTGAAACAGCCTCACGAATGGACCGCACGCCGCCTTTAGAATGTGGTGGCTGCTTGGGGCGGCGCGCACATTCTTATTTAAAGAGGTTGGAAGACAAGTGGCTTTCAACATGTGCTTCTTGATTTAGCACCGCGGGCATCATCTCACAGTTGGAATCAATTTAACTCATTGGGGGCGTTTCCTTATTCACAAGATGGTTCCCGCCCCAGCGCAGCGCACATTCGACTTAGAAACTTGAACCAGTTTCAATGATGGAAGACTGTGCCTTTTCAACATATAGCTCTCTGATTCGCGCCCCGCACTCGCCTTAATGTTCGAACGGAAACGGAAACAGCTTGAAACGGAACCGAGGCACAGCGCGGAGCCAAAAAACCCGCGCGGAGCGCCTTTAAGTCTATGTTTCTGCCGCTGTCTCCTCTTCGACAGCACCCACACCTGACGCAGACCACCCCGGCTCGGCCCCAGGAAGGCCACATGCGGGCGCCGAGCCGCGCCCTCGAAGAGCACCCTCGCGGCGGCAGGCCGCCGCTGGCTGTGGCGGCAGCCGACGGGCGGCTGCTGGCCCGGCAGCGGCTCCTGCGGGCCTCCGCGGCCGCCGCCGCTGCAACCTCCGCCTCGCGAGGCGCGCGCCGCCGACGGACGCCGGCCGCAGCCTTCCGTTGGCGCGCGCGTGGCCCGTGGGGTTCCATCACCTGGACGGGCCCTCCCGCCAGGCTCCACGCGCGGTCCGCCGCGGCGAGCTCCGCGCGCTGCGCAGTCTGCGCGCCGCCCACTGGCCCGCTTGGTCTGGCCCGAGCAGCCCGCGCCCGTGCCGAGGCCAAAGCCCAATCCAGCTGGTGCCATCAGCGGCTCTGCTGGGTGGGAGCGCATGCGGTCGGTCGAGGCGCACGCCCATACGACACCAAAACATATACACAGACGCCCTCCGAGGAACTTCGTATGTACTTCCAGGGAGGGCGGTGTACAGAGTCGCTGGATCCCAATGGTGATTTATACACCGCCACTCTCCCCTGGCGGCCCGGGAACAATTCATGGGAGGGTGTGTATATGGATTCCTCTTCCTATGTTTCTATAAGCCCGGGCGGGGGTACCCCCCCCCCAAAACCGGACTCCTGGGATCTGGGGCTTTGGGACCCTCCGGACGGGCCTCGAAGCGGCCCCCCGGGCCTCGCAGGGTCCCAGAGACCCCCAAGACAGCACAAGAGCGCTCCAAGAGTGACCGACGTGACCTCAAGATGGCCCAAGAGGCCTCCAGGACGGCCCCAAAGGCTTCAAAAAGCCTCCAAGAGCACTCCCAAGAAGGCCCCAAGAGGCAAACATCATTGATTTTCTGAAAGATTGTGGTGGATCTTGGGGTTCTCCTCTTTTCGGCTCCCCGACGCTCCAGTACGGCAGTCTTCTGGGCGTCCGTAGCCGCCTGGGAGGCTCCAAAATGGCCCCACAACCATCCGAAAGGGCTTCCAGGCAGTCCAAGAGAGCCCCAAAAAGGCACAACAGGGTCAAAGATGGCCCTAAGAGAGCCCCATGGCGGCCCAAGACGGCCCCAAGACACCCTCCGAAGCATTCCAAATTGTGACCCGGTCGTTCAGGGAGACCGCGGTTGGAGGCAGGGTGGCCGAGGAAGCCCCCAGAACCTCCAGAACACGCCCAGGAGGCCTCCACAAGGCCTTAAGAAAGCCTTGGAGAGCCTCCGCAAACAGAGCTGAGGAGGATAGGGAAAATGCGAAGGGTATGGCGAGAACGAAGAAAAATAAGCATGGAGGAAGGATAACGAAAAACATCATTTTAGCGGCGCTGCTGGAATGGCAACAAGGAGTTATCGCTAAATTGTCGGCTTGACCTTCCTGCCATCCCGCCTGCATACCAAAATTCAAGGACCAAGGTGCATGGCGCGAAGCGCCACTACAGTCTTGTATATATATATATATGTATATATGTGTATATGTATAAATATATACATATATACAGATCCTTGTGGCGGAGCTCAGGTCAAGAATGCGGGCTACGCGGCGGCTGGGTCCGGGAGCGGCGGCGGCGTTGTCAGTCGCCTCGCGTCCTCCGCGAGCACCGCCGGGTACCGGTCCGCGGGCAGCGGCACCTCGCCGCCTGGAGGCCGGAGCGCACCCACTGCAGCGCGAGGCCTCCTGTGGCCAGCGCTGCGGCGCGCGCTTCCCCCTCCAAGCTCGGGCAGGCCCGCATGCGGTGCGCGGGATCCTCCACGGCTGCGCCGCCGTGGGGCCACTGGGTCGAATGGCCCCATAATGTTGCGGATGTCATGACAGTGGACACTCGAACAATCCTATCATTGAGTGAAAGCTGTGTCTGAAATGTTTGAATCATGTTCTACACATGATTTAAACTTGTGTTTTACATGCTTAAAACATGTTTGTCAATTTTTGCTGGCATCTGGAATTTACTTGTCAGCACGCTTCCTCTCCATTGATCGACTTCCACAACCATAACGCGCAGCGCCCCCCGCGGGGACAGCAAGCGACCACTGCTACATCGAGGCCACACCCTGGAGGACGCCTTGCGCCGCCAACACGCGTCGGAGCACCGAAGCCGACTCTCGACTGGCTGAGGTCGATGTGGGCGTCCCAGGTGGCCAAACCGACCACAACAAGACGCCCAACGTGTTCGCGTCGCTGTCGGTGGGTTCTCCCCCGAGGAGCCCTCCAGAAAAGAGCACTCACTTGCGGGCTGTGGTTCTGCATGGTGCCAGGAGCCCCCGCCGCATCGGGCAGCCCGGGTCTCCGCTCTTCCGGCAGAGCTGGCGGGCTGCCCGCTGCGCGGAGGCGGGCCGCCGCGCCGCCACCTCTCGTGGTTCGCAGGGCGGGCGCAGAGAGGCCCGCAGGGCGGCACGAGGTTTTCCAGCAGGCCGCGGTCCGCGGGCCGCCGCCCGCCAGGTGCAGCGGCGACACCGAACCGGCACTCGGCGTCCGCGCCAAGCCACAGCTCTGCGAGGCCAGAGCGAGGAAGGACAAGACGCGCAGGCACCCGCAGGACCATACACATTGGCATTGCACGCGGCGAAAAGAATCCTCATACAAGCAACGACACGCACGCATATGATTCCAAAGCCTTGCAATCCACAAGACCATAGCAAAAGCCGTGAGGTAGCGTTATGGGCTATAACTGGTCACGTCGACACGTCATGTGCCGTATATCCCGCACTCGCACGTGAAGCACAGAACACCGCTTATCATACGCCCGCGAATGTACACAGCAAACTTGGAATCAAAACAAGGAATGATTTCGCATATGGGTCCGTGTTTCTGATCTGCTGGGTAAACCAAATGGTTTCCCCCACAGCGTCCCACCAAAAGCAAAATATCCCAACATATCGAGTCCCACCGAGAAGTCCGAAGTCCAATGGGATCCCTCCCCGCAGGCTCTCACTCCACAAGGACCCACGCCACAAGACCCCCCCTCCCATAGGGTCCAAACCGTTCGGCTCCCACCTCATAAATTCTATTTTCTGAAAAGAAAATAGACTCTCCCCCCCCCACCAGCGTTATCGTTCCCCCTTTCGGGTACGTAAATCGTTTTTGATTCTGACCACATGTCCACCCTAAAAATGAATTTGCACTATCCTAGGGGAACCGGTATCGGTCCCCCTGAGGTTCCCTTGTAAAAAAAACGATACGCGGGGACATCTTCTGTTCTAACATAAGACTGTTTCACGAATCCCTTCCCGAAAAATATGACGAAACGCACACGCGCGCGTCGTCGCGCGCGCATGCCGAAATCCTTCAAAAACCTTCGGTGTCGGGAAGTTTCGCAATCGAATTTCCCAAATAACATACAAAAACACAGGGTTCCGCAACGCTGATAAAAAAGCTTACGCGCGAGCTCTTGCGAAATCTTAGGGAAACCATAGGTTTTTCAAGATTTCCACAACATGCTACCAAACGGGCTCCGCGCGCGCGCATGTCAAAATCTGTCGAACGCCCCTGCGCGTGTGCCGTCGCGAGAACCCCTTGCAAAAAAAAGACGAAGTGCAGACGCGCGCGTCGTCGCGCGCGTATGCCGAAATCCTTCAAAACCCATCGGTTTCGGAAAAATTTCAAAATCGTGTGTCCAAAAACCATATGAAAACACTAGGATTCGCAAAACGCACGTTCAACAAAAGCGTGCGCGCGCGCTCTTGCGTCGTCGTCGTCGTCGTCGTCGCCGTCCTCCCTCCTCCCGCGTCGTCGTCGTCGTCGCCTACGTCGTTCTCTGTCTTTCCTCGTGTTCGTCGTCGTCGTCCTCTTTGGCGTCGTGGTCGTTTCCCTTCATCCTCCTCCTCTCGTCGTCGTCGTCGTCCGTCGTCGGCGTCTCGTCGTCGTCCCTCCTATTTCGTCGCCGTCGTCGTCGTCGTCGTCTTCCCTCCTCCCTCGTCGTTGCCGTCGTCGTCGGCGTCGCCGTCCTCCCTCCTTCTTCGTCGTTCGCGTCGTCGCCGTCCTCCCTCCTCCCTCGTCGTTGTCGTCGTTGTCGCCGTCGTCGTCCTCCCTCCTCTCTCGTCGTCGTCATCGTTTTCGTTGGCGACGTCGTCGCCGCCGCCGTCCTCGTCGTCGTCGTCGTCGTCGTCGTCGTCGGCGTCGTCGACGTCGTCGTCGTCGTCGTCGGCGTCATCGTCGTCGGCGTCGGCGTCGTCGTCGTCGTCGGTGACGTCGTTATCGTCGGCGTCGTCGACGTCGTCGTCGTCGTCGGCGTCATCGTCGTCGTCGTTGGCGTCGGCGTCGTCGTCGTCGTCGGTGACGTCGTTATCGTCGGTGTCGTCGTCGTCGCCGTCGCCGAAGTCGGAGACGTCGTCGGTGTCGTCGTAGTCGTTGTCGTCGGTGTCGTCGTAGTCGGTCTTAAGAGGTTTTGCAAACCAAGTTGCGGGTGGGTGGGTGGGATGTTTGCAGGAGCATGGGATCTATCAACTCATGGGTAAAAATCACTTGCCAACCCATGGGATCCACCCGACAGGGCCGCAAACGACAGGAACACACAGGATGGGGTCCTGCGCGGCAGGGGTGTTTCACAGCAGGGTCCGACAGGGTCCCACACGCTTGGTCCCCACACGTCACGGTGCAACACCACAGGGGCCCACCTCGCAAGGTCCAACACGATGGGATCCCATACGACGGGATACGCCAGGATCCCACACAATATGGTCCCACACAGTGGGGCCCTACGCGATGGGTCCCACATGCTAGGGTCCTGCACGATAGGGCCCGCATGATCGCACCCAATCGTATCTATCTGCACAGAGTGCGCAAAAACACTGCTTTGCAGTCCGCTTCAGCATCATGTGTACGTGCCAGCCAGCGCTGGCATCGCATAAAAGCTTAGATCCGACCCCAATGTGTACTACTCTAGGTTGCTCAACGTGACTCTACTCCATGCAACCCCACTCTCATCTAACACAGGATACGCTACGCAAATCGACTCTGATCGACTCTACCCTACTCTGCTCGACCCGGTGTTGCGATACGCTAGCCCATTCTAGGCTGCTCAACTCTACTCTATCCTACTCTATCCGACTCTACTCTTCTCTACTCTACTCTATTTTACGCTACTGCCTTATACGCGACGCTACTCTACTATATTCCCTTATCAAATCTACTCTGCTCTACTATATTCCTAGTCTACCCTGCCCCTACTCTACTCTATTCCTACTCTGGTATGTTCTATGGCTCTCTCCTCTACCCTACTTTGTAATAGCAGACAAACCAATGCGGATAGCAGAGAAATGCCTGCGAACAGTTTGGGCGAAACTATGTGGGTAGCAGAGGAAGCCATGCGGGTAGATTGACGAAACCTTGCATGCTCAACTCTGCTCTCCTCCTACTCTACTCTACACTACACCCTACTCCTACCCTACTCGGACTCTGCTCCAAATCTACCCTACTCCTACTCTAATATGATAAATGATCCTCTACTCTACACGAGTCTAGCAGGCGATACCATGCGGATAGCAGAGGAATACATGCGCACAGGTTCGACGAAGCCATGCGGACAGCAGAGTAGAACATGTGGATATTTGGACGGACGCAAAGGCAATGTAGAAGGTGGGGACCAATGGACCAGTTCTCGATGGATGGAGCCAGGATTCCTATAGGCAAGCCTATTTTAATAATTGTCATGTGTCATGCGCTGTGAAACAAAGAAGGTATGTTACGGAAGCGAAATAGGCGGCTGGACTAAATATACAAGAGACTGGCGTTTTGTGGCGCGCGCCAAAACAACCGCCCTGAACGATCTGAATCTATGACAAGTCCAACACCGATCAGGTCAGCAACACCGTGGGGGCGGTTCGACCCATCCGAACCTCCCCCAAAACGGACAGGCACGAAAAAGGCCCTCACGCCACAACCCACTTAGACGACACTGCGCTACCGCCCCCCCCCTGAAGACCAGCCAAATCAGAATAACCGTGAGGGCTGCTCGAAGCATCCGACCCTCCCTCGACGACCCACATGGCTAGACCAAGAACAACGCAGGTGTTTCGAACTAATGAGGCAGCGAGGAGGATTCGCAGAGGCAGCAAGGAGGGGAGTAGGCGGGAGGGGATAAGAAAAGAGGAGGGAGGAGGGGAGGCGGTGGGAGGAACTGGGAACAAAAAAAACTGAAAGCCCAAGACGAGCGTCGAACAAAGAGGAAGCTACGCAAAACCATGCAGGCGATTCGAGTTCACCGACTTGTCTTCCAGACGGCGTCGCGACAGGAGGTCTGAGCTGCGCTTCCTGCCTTGAGCCGCCCGCCTTCGCCGACCCACCCCATCTGTCCAGGTCGACAAAGTCGAAGGGACCCAAATTTGAGCACGTGACGACCTGCAGGGAGGGACTGGGGGAGATGGGATCCAGAGGTCCGGCGCTCCAAAAAAGTCGGAGCGGGCGGCTTTTGGCTGTCTTCGGCTTCGAGAAGCCCTCGCAGGGCATCGGGGGACTGCCAAACAACGACTCAGGACGACAAACCGGCCCCTCGGGAAGTGGTCCAAACCTCTGGGGCCCACGCATCGACAAACTTGGAGCAGCCAGATGTCTGGGGATTGCGCGGCGGGATACGACTGGAAAGGTGGGGGTGGATAGTGGGTGGAGCGGAGAAGCAGCGAGGGGGGGGACCCAAGTCGAAAAGCGAGGCCAAGGGCGGGGATATGAAACTAGAGAACGGGAGTAGAATCCACAGAGAACAGGGTGCAGAATGCGCAAAACGGGCCACTTCCAGGGACACGGGGCAGTCACGGCACCACTCCCAAGCGCAGCGGTGCAGAATCGACAGACCGCTGACTGGACACGGGACCACGTCCTCTGCAAGAAAGGCTCTGAGCTCTGCGCTACAACTCCGGATGGCTTTTCTGGAGTCAAACTAAGCAGCCCTGCGAGCCAAACGACCGAAGAACACGCACACAACGCCAACATTCCCACAATTGGCACTCTCTCCTGGCAAGTCGGCGACACGAATGCATCAAAGAAATATCCGCATCTGTAATGACACCAGGAGTAGCCAAGGCCTGTGAAATCACATTGTGGTCGAACATGTGGATTCGTACTGTAACGCGTCAGCGCCGCCGACGGTCGACAAACATGCGAGAGCACGGAAAGAGGGAGAGAGAGAGAGAGAGAGACAGAGAGACAGAGACATATAAAAAGAGACGAGAAATGGGTCGAAGAGGAGGTGAAGAACTAAGAGGAGAGGAATGAACGACGGAAAAGGAGAGACGGGGCAACTAAGAACTAGGAGGATGGAGTGCTGTGCGGGCCGAACTCAACACACCAAATGCAAGAATCAGTACAATTGCTTGGTCACCGCTAGCAGCGCACCACCACCATGTTATTAACACGCAAACGCGAACCCCACGATTGCATAGGTCGACTCAACCACTTCAGACTTGCCAGATCATCGGGGAACCTTCCGGATGATTGCCCGGTGGACGCCGTTGGGATGGCTCATCGCGCGCTCGGACCACGCGAGGAAGATCTGCCAACCATGAATGCAGTAAGCTGCGTCGCAACCATCGATCTCTAGCAGTAAGGTAGCCACGGAGCGACTGCGACTGTCAGAAACACAACGCTCGCACTGAAATCAAATCACTGGACACTTCAGACGTACAACGCACATCTCCAAGCAATTACATGCCTGACATTACGCAACTGCTCCAACTTCGCAAGGCTCAAGGAGCAGCGAAAGATCGGCTGTCCTCCACTCCAAATATAGGAATATGGCATACTCAATTTACCAAACCGTATGACGCATCCTGCCTGCACGTGCACGGTCCTAAAGCACTACGCGTTGCTAAGCTGGCCTGCTCGTGCAAGCGCAGCGCACAAGCTGTTTCGTGCTGGGCGATACCAGCTGGGTGCTCTGAGATGGTTAACACCGAGCACGGCCAGAACGCGATGAAACGAGCACACCCACCAGTTTGTTCAATGCAGCTGGGCGGACGACATCGGAGATGCAGTCAAGTGTGGGTGCAAGGCCGTGGGGGCAGCGCGGAACGCCGAGGTGTACCAAGGGCGCGTGGAAGAAGTGGCAAGCAGGGATCATCTTCATTCATCTCCTCCTCCTCCTCTTCTTCGTGCTCAGCTTCCTCATCCTTTCTCTCCACCTTCAACTCCTCCTCATCCTACCCTGGGCCGCGAGCGGGCTCAGAGATCCGTTTCCAGACCCACCGCGGCAGCAGCAGAGCCAAGCTGCGTGAGCCGCAGGGGGAATATGGCTCGGGCGGACAACGACGACCCATCTCTACGACGACGCTCATTGTTTACAGCGTCGAACTCAAGAGGGCTGGACCCCTTCTTTGGGGCAGTTCCAAATCCCCCAACGTTTTGCGACGGTCCCCGGGCCCCGTGAGGGCTTTAGGGGGCCGAACATGGCCGAACACCTCCCGTGCTTGTTTTTGCCTGAACGGGAAAGGTTAAGGGTCTCGCGTGCGCGCGCAAGCACGCACGCACAATTTCGGCGGTGAGGCCGAGGCAGCCCGCTCCACAGCGAGACTAACCGGGGCAACCGAAAGGCAAATTGTCTGGCATGCAAGAGGAAGGAGAAACTACGAGGGCGGCCGCGCGGGGGAGGAGAGATATTCGGCCTCTTTAGAACCCGAACGACAAGTGACAACCGAGATACGTCACATTACAACCAACAAGGAATCGAGGTTTATGGTCGTCCTTTGAGAGTGACCACTTAATAACCAGACCAGCCAAATTTACAAGCATAACGGCCCACTTTACAACCCAGACGGGGCTCTTTACAACCAGAACGGCCACTGTACAACCACCCTTCAGAAGCGCGTGAGCGTTCTGCAGCGGCTTCTGAAGCTTCAGGGCACCTCAGCGTTCCGCACAAGTTTCTGAGCGCCTGAGCGCACTGCAGAAGCTTCAGATCGCATGGACGCGTTGCAAAGGCTTCTAAGCGCCTGAGCGCCCTGCAGAAGCTGCTGAAGCTTCTGAGCGCTCTGCAGAAGCACCTGACCGCTTGAGCGCGCTGCGAGGGCATCTGAACGCCTGAATGCTCTGCAGTGGATTCTGAGCGCCTGAGCGCTTTGCAGAGGCATCTGAGTGCCTGAGCGTTCTGCAGAAGCTTCTGACCGCCTGAGCGCTCTGCAGAGGCTCCTGAGCGCATGGGCGGTCTGCAGCACTATCTGCTGCCAGAAGAGCCAAGATTTTCAGGTAGATGGTACGAGGCTCGAAAAAACGATGGAGACTCAGGGCATATGAATGAAACGCACTTCAACAGCCCAGGCCTGTCGTCAGCCTGAAGCCGGATTACCCATATCGGATCAACACTGGGTTCCAATAGCTCGTTCTGGATATCACAAGGATGGCGATACGACGCCAATCTGGTTACAGTGTAGAGGACAGGTTCGCGTTGGGCCACCGTTGGGCCCTGATGGCCCCAATAGTATGCCCGTATGGGTCTAGTAGGACAGGTGCCGATTGGACTCCCGTGAGATATTCGCCCCCTTCGCCACGATGTTTCCGATGAATTCCAAGAGAAGCGGGTCCTACTGTTTTCTAGTAAGAACCCAAGAGGATTCTCATTGGGTTTCCATGTGCTACCCCAGCGCGCGCCTGGCAGCATTCCACTGGGGAGGTTCCTCGTTTGTAATACAATTGGGTTTCCAATCGGTTTTCATTGGGACGGGCCCCGAATATCTTCAATAGGGAACATCCCTATCGGATCCCAATAGGACACCCGCAGGCCCCGTAGCGAAGAATCTCACCAGATCCCAATGGGATTCATTTGGTGCCGATCGGACCCAAGTAGGAAGGGTGCCACTCGGAATCGAATAGGCATCCCGATCGGTCCCATTCGGGGACCGCCACTTCACATAATCTTGCTTCAGACGGGTCTCCTTACAACCAACGCGCTTCAGAGAGCGAGCTGTCTCCCTTGCGTGGCCCCACGGAGATTTCGGAAATTGAAAAGACATGTATTGTTTAGAGGCCTTTGATTGCCTGGTTGGAAAGTCGCCTCCTTGGTGTCAAGTGCTCTGCTGGGAAAACACTTGCTGGTTGTAAAGTTGCCGTTCAGGTTGCAATGTGACCCGCGCGCGGAGGCGATGGGGGAAACGCTCAGGCGCGGGCGCGGAAGAGTTCCGCGAAAAACAGGCCGGAGAAGCACGCGCGCACACGCACGTGCAGGGAGAGACGCGCGCGCGCGGCAGAAGACCTGACCTGGCCAAGGAGCGTCGGCATAGGGCGTGGAGCGCGGCGCCGCCGAGAGAAAAGCAGATGCAGAGGGGGAGCTGCAAACGCAGTCGCCGCGCTGCCACCAGGAAGGCTGCACCGGGAACGAAGGGCCTCTTCTGGCCGCGGCGAGCCCCGGCCATGGAGAGGCCCCTCGACCGGCATCAGGTGCAGCGGCCCGCAGGACAGGGCCCCCCTTCTGCGCCCAGAGCGGTCCTCAGTTCACCGTCTTGATCGCATGCGGCGGGACATTGAGCGCCCTGGTCAAACTCAAGCATGCGCGGTGCGGGCGGGGCGCCCAGGGGCAAGCCACTCATGGCCATGGCTCGCCCTCCTGGGGGTCCACCGCCCCCGCGCCTCGCCGCCGCGCGCTCGGCGCAGGCCACGCGGCCGCGGCCCCCCCCCGCCGCCGCCAGGGAACCAAAGCCGTGGGCCCTGGCCAGGCTCGCAAGCGGCGGCAGGATCAGCGCGCCGTCGCCGCTCAGGCCCTGGCGCGTCTCGACACCCGCCCCTGGCCCAGGCCGTCGCGAGCGGGCTCGGTCGCCTGGGGCCCGACAGCCGCCCCGAGGGCCACACCTGGGTGAACCTCCAGGTCGGGCCCCACGGCGACGCCGAGCTTCTCCGCCCAGCGCAACCTCGTGGCCGCCGATTCCGGCGTCAGCTCGCCGATGGCCTCCTTGGTGCCAGATTGCAGCCTCTTGCCCAGGTCGCGCCGAGCATGGGCCCGCAAGCCCGCCCTGACCCGCTGCGCCGCCCCGCTGCGCGCCCCGCGAAGCCCTTCCAGGCCGTCCTGGGGGCTCGGGCGAACATGTCGCAGGGCCCCCTCCTCATCGCGACTGGGTTGGCGGTCCAGGCCATTTGCGTTGCGGTCTGGGCTCGCCAGGCATGGCCGGCTGCTGCGCAGGCCTGCTTGGCGGACGCGGAGAAGCTCCAGCGCAGCCAGCGGCCCTGGTCGGCAACCCCATCGCAGCGCCGGTGTTCACACTGCAGCGCATCGGGTGGCAGCTGGCGGCAGGTGGCGCGCGCGTCCAGGACGAGCTGGGCCCAGAATTTGAAGCCGACATCTTCTCGCCCACCTTCCTGGCTGAGCGGGCCCGCGAGGCGACGCGGAAGGCCGCGGCCCTTCAGGCTAGAGGCAGACCTGGGCATCTCCGGCCTTGGGGGCTGCCCCCCGCCTGGAGGCCCGTCAATCAGCTTCTGGCTCGCGCCACCTCCGAGACCTGGACTAGCCACCGCAAAGGGCTGCTTGCGCTGGCTGGTCTCGCTGGCGCACTGGCCGCAGGCGCGCCGCGCCAGGTGCAAGGCTGGCATCAGCCCGTTGTGCCTGCCGTGCCAGGCCTCAGCAGGGTCGGTCGACCACCGCCACTTCGAGCGCCCCGCCTAGCAGGCTTGGCGCCGCGACAGGCAGCCGCCTAGGCTCGAGGCGGCAGCGGGGGAGGCCGGCAGCATGGGGGCGCCTATCGGCGAGCTCTTCGCCCAGGGGCTGTTCGCGGACGCATCGGCGTTGCTGAGGAGGCCCCCCTGGCAGCCGAATTCGGCGTCGCGCCAAGTGGGCTGGGGGAGCCCCATGGTGGTGCCCGTCGGCGCGCTCGTGTTCACGGACGGCTCCTGCGTCCACGGGCGGCCCCCCACGCTGCGCAGCGCTGGCTGGTCCGTCATTGTGATCTCAGGAGGCGGTCAGGTTTGGGCCCAAGCCCGGGGGGGCCGCCCGAGCTGCTGTCCAACCTGTCCGCGAGGGCGGGCGAGGGCTATGCCGCGGTCCTGGCGCTCACGCAGATCCTGGACTGAATCAGGGACCTCCCGGGGGCGCAGGGGCCCACCTCGCAGCGCGCCCATCTGCGGGCCAGAGTGGGCGACGCGGCGGAGGGGATCGAGGCGAAGCACACTTCTGCTCACACCTCGCAGGAGGCGGTGCACAGGGGCGCGATCACTGCACTCGAGCGCGACGGCAACAAGGAGGGCGCGGCGCTGCAGGCGGCATCTGACGAGAATGTCCCGGTGCTGGAGGGCCTGCTGACGAGGGCCCGAGAGGCGGCGCGCGTCGCGGCAGAGATGCAGGTCGACATCACGGAGCAGGGTGTCCGCGACTGCTGTCCGACGGAGGCGCTGGGCGACATCGACCTCGGCGACTGGGGGGAGATCCAGGATGAGCCGGCGGAGGCCAGCGCGGCGGGCAGCGGCGCCGGGCTGGCGGCGGCGGCGGGGGCAGCGGCACTGGCGACGGCATCCAGCTCGCCCCCCAGCGCCGCCTGCGCCCCAACGGCCCCGAGAGGAAGGGACAGCGGTCCTCCT